CCATTCAAAAGTTTTCAGCTCTGTCCAGTTCTAAATAACCCCTTTTTTGGCGTCCCACCCACTGCAGTTGTTAAAGATTTAGAACTGCATATTAGAAAATAACTTGAAGGTTATTTGTAAAAGCTCGAATTGTCTAATCCCTGATGTTGCAAACCTTTTCCTGTTTCAAACTTAGATTATTTCATCTAATTAACAGAACATTCATTGATTTAAATATTTAAGGTCTATAACATTGTTTATATAGAGATTAGAAAATCAAAGTTTGTGGCACAGACTCAATTCCTTTGATTGTATGACAGGCTGGGAAAATAATATTCTTGAATGGATATTCTACTTTCAAAGGTTTTATTCAGCATTACCCACAAAGGATGAGACTGGTAAGACGACTTAAATCTCTTCAAATATGACGATTCCAAGACTATGTTTAGTCTTATGCCTTGATTGTGGCCTTTATATGACTTATTTAATGATTAGGCAAAGGAATAAAGAAGTTTCTAGTTGCAGGGAATCATGAATATAAGGAAACAAGACCGTTAAATATCCGTACAGTCGTCTCTGAAGTCTCATCCTTAGTAAGCAACCCTGGAGTTCTTATTATTTTGCATTTTTGTTTATATTCACGAGTACACGAGTACCCTAAACAAACATTCTTCTGAAGTTCTTGTAACTTTCTATTTCTAGTTTTCTATATTTATCCTGAGAATATAAAAATGTTTTTCCTTATTTTTGGATTAAATTGAATAGGATGATGAAGCTAGAACCAATTTAAATCCCAATACATAGATAGAAACCGTTTTACAAAATTAAGTTGGAAAAGGAATAACAATTGGATGCTATACTTACATCTAGGGTTTTCTATGATTAACAACTTTTCATTATATTTTGGAAAAGTTTGAATTTGTTTTTTTAACTGTCTTTAATATTTTTTAAGAAATATGTTTACATGTTACTATAAAAAATGGTTAAAAACTATTGCTATGAATGCAGTTAGTTTTAGCGCGATGATGCGTAAAATTTGTATTATTCTTCTGATATCCAACACTGGGGGAAAAAGTTCTTTCCCATGGAATATAATGACATTTCAGATGTAACCTAATTTCTGTAGCTGTGATTTTTTACAAATCAGCATTTCTACATGACGCTGATGTTGCATCAGGTAACGGCTTGATTTGACCGTAGTTTTCTTCTTTTCACTTTTCACTCAAGCAACAAATAATTTAAACATGAGACATCTGGACTATTTAAAGGGACTGTAAAGGAAAAATGAAAGGGGGTATAGGCAGCTAATCACTTTAGCTCTTGATCGCGTCCCATGAAAGTTTTATCTGATGTTCCTGTCTCGAGAAATTGATATAAAACTGTGTTTAAACTATACGAAAGTTCATATATGTAAAATTTAGAAAATCTTAAACTTAAATCATGTGACCAGAATTATCACCAATGGCAGAGCAGTATACTGGTCACGTGTCTCCGCCTGTATCACGTGACCACTATACTGCACTGCCATTGGTGGATTATCTGGTCAAGAATACGGATGCATAAATAATATTATGAATTAAATCTATTAAAAATAGAAATAAAAAATATAAAATTAGAATTGGAGTAAACCTAAGTTACAATTAGCTTTCTATGGGATATCATCGTTTTCAGATTGGTTTCTTATTTGCTGAATTTGATCTATTTAAACCCACTACTTTTATACAAAATTGTATATATATTAATTTTCGTATAAATTTGACAAAGTTGTAAATCAATTTCTCGAGATAGAAACATCAGATATAACTTTCATGGGTCGCGATCGAGAGCTAAAGTGATTAACTTTCAGCCTATACCCCCTTTCATTTTTCCTTTACAGTCCCTTTAAGAAACCATTTTGGTTGAATATTGCATGAAGTTATGTTAATTTGATAAATCTAAAAGAGAAAACCAGCCATGGATGGCTTTTCTTAGTGTCTAAACTAGAGAAAGTCTTATTTTTCTGAGCATTTTATCAGTTTTTTTTTGTTTCTCCTGTAGTATCAATATCTATCAATCTACAATCTACATCTATGATCAACTATCAATGCATACTTGAAAATTGTAATTTCTAAACAACTTTTTTGTCCTTCAGGCTTGTTTTGTATCAGGAAAATGTTCTATTTGAAATCATGTACAATGTATGCACTGCACTATTATAGAATGTACATCCGTTTTGGGTCAATTGGTTTAAAGGGACTGTAAGCGTAATTTTAAGTGGCCTTCCATTTAAAGAGGAACTTCCTGATTCACAACGGTACCCTTTAAACCTTTGACAGCTCAAGGATAACAGATATTTCCTGAAACGCTTGAAATTGTCGTAATTTGTTTACAAGCTGTTTTATATTTAAGGACTATTAATAATAAGTGTTGGAATATAAATATTTACATCAAAATCTTTGAAAACAGTGTTAGATATCAATGTTGTGTTAATACAGTACGCTAGCGTAAATTCCAATCTTACAAATTTTTACTGTAGCTTATAAATCTGAAATCTGAAATTATGAAATCTGAAATCTGAAATCTGAAATCTGAAATCTGAAATCTGAAACCTGAAACCTGAAATCTGGAATCTGAAATCTGGAATCTGAAATCTGGAATTTGAAATCTGAAATCTGGAATCTGGAATCTGGAATCTGAAACCTGAAATCTGAAATCTGAAATCTGAAATCTGGAATCTGAAATCTTTGTTCTCGATAATCACATCAATCAAAGGATTAAAGGTTACTTTCGAGTACATCTTCATTAGAAGGTCATTTGAAATTACGCTACCAGTCCCTTTAGGGAATCGTAAATGTTTAGAATTGTTTGTGTAAATGACAAGTATCCCTGCTTTACTGCCTGATAGTGTCACAGAGTTGGCAAACTTATATACTTAGATCCATCTTTTCTATACTTTTCTTTTAATATTTCTTATCATTATATTTAGCAAGTTTCTAACTTTTAGAGATTAAAAATTATATTCCGGAAACTTTTCATCAGAGGCCAAATTTTAAGAATTTGAGCTGCGGCTTAAATTTAAGCCGCGGCTCAAATATGGTTGGTTCCACTTAAAATCGTATTCATTGTTTCAAGATTTAAGCCAGTGCTCAATTGAAACCGGTTTTTGGCTGATTTTAGACGCGACTTTTTAACAAAAAAGGGCACAAAAGGTTAACATGGTGTATGTCTTATAAAACAGTTTTTTAAAAGAAAAAAATTACGATTTAAGAAAAATTTTAAAGTTTTAAAAATTCACCAATAAGAACAATAAATATCTGCTAAATTGTTCAGAATTTAAAATTCAGTGATGGTGATGGACCAAACCTCTGTAGAGTAAAAAAGTAGATGTTAGTTCCACATTTATTGAAAATATATTTCGGTCTGGGTTGACCCTCGTCAGTTCTAACGATATAATAACCATCAAAATCGATTAAAAAAATTAAAAAAATGTAAAAATCACATGGTTTCAAATGAAATGTACAAAGAAATAGTATTAGCAGGTTAATCATCATTAACAAGTTAAAATTATTTCTAGAAAGAGGATTGGATGTCCTGTATCTACTGTGTATGCACTTTAATTAATTGCTTCAACTTAAGCCATTGTAATTACAAGATGGTTGCACAACTTCCCATCCTAATGTTAAAATACAATGTAATTAAGCCAAAAGGTATCCTCTTCACACAAATAATTTAACTTGAAGTTTCATTCGTTTTCTATTTAAATTTAAAAGTTGATACTTCAAAATTTCAAAAAAATAGTCGTAATTACGCGAAATTTAATTTTTTTGTAAGGCACAATAATTGCAAAATTTTAATAAATTACGTTGTCGCCGTAATTTTACGTCGTAATTTTGTGAAATTGAAGTTTCGCTAATTACGCGTATAATTGCAAAATTTTGCGAAATTACTTTGTAGAAGTTACGCAAAATTGCGCCGTAATTTCGCGAAATTGAAGTTTCGCTAATTACGAGTAATCCTACGAAATTACATAAAAAGAACATCATTTCGAAAACTGCGCGTAAGTAAATAATCAATTACATATCAAACTTAGATTAATTGATCTAACAGAGTTTTAAATATCTAACGTCCATGACATATTGGGTTGAACAGATTTAGGGATTAGATTTAGAGTTTTTGGCAAAGACTCAATTTCTTTATCTTCAATTATCTATGTTCCACTGGTTTTACCCCCATTCTACCGCCTTTATCTGGTTCTCCTTCTTTACCCAATTCTACCATCTTTACCCCATTCTACTGTCTTTACCCCGTTCTACCGTCTTTACTACGTTCTACCATCTTTACCTTGTTCTACCGTCTTTACCCCGTTCTACCAGCTTTACCCCGGTCTACCATCTTTACCCCATTCTACCGTCTTTACCCCGTTTTACTGTCTTTACCCTGTTCTACCATCTTTACCCCGTTCTACAGTCTTTACCCTGTTCTTCTGTCTTTACCCTGTTCTACGGTCTTTAACCCTGGTCTACCATTTTTACCGTGGTCTACCACTTTACCCCGTTCTACGATATTTATCCGTTCTAACATCTTTACCCCATTCTACCATCTTTACACCGTTTTACCATCTTTACCCTGTTTTACCCTTTTTACCCAGTTCGGTCTTTATCCCATTCTACTGTCTTTACCCCATTCTACGGTCTATATCACATTTTTGCGTCTTTGCCATGTTCTATTGTCTTTACCCAGTTCTACCGTCTTTATCCCGTTCTACTGTCTTTACACATTCTACCGTCTTTACCCCGTTGTATTATTTTTACCCCGTTCTACTGTCTTTACCCCATTCTACCATCTTTACTCCATACTTACCCTGTTCTATTGTCTTTACCCTGTTCTACTGCCTTTACTTCGTTCACTGTCCTTATCCGTTTCTACTACATTTACCCTTTTCTACTGTCCTTACCCCGTTCTACCGACTTTACTCCGTTATACCGCCTGTAGTAAACTATATTGGCCTCAGTCCAGTAGAATTTGCTTCAGTGACCTCTCAACTACTGACACTAGAGGACACACGGCCTCTCTCATCCTTCTCATATCTTTTTCTCCTGTATCTATTTAACACAGTGCGTACTATCCCATATAAATGACTCATAATACACGGGACAATTAGCACTTGGTGTCATGGACTCCTCGTAAATACTGTTATTCAACACTTCTTTACTTGCGTTTTCTTGTACGGAAGACTATCAAATAATACTTCCGGTTCTTGTGACTTCCGGATAAGTGAGTTAAATTGTGAACTCATGGAAACCGGTTTCGATTTAGTGAATTCTACTCGTGAAGAATATTCTTGCAGGTTTAGAAAAGAATAAAAATGAGGTGATAAAATTATAAGAGATGATTTTTTAATTATTTTAAATAATAAATAATTTTTATGATGTTAGAGTGGAGGTCTCAAATGTTTACAATATATGTTTTAACAAAATCTGGGAAATAATTCCGTAAAAATAAGAACTGCCAGTTTTTGTGAAACTATTTTTCATACAATTTAGTAATTATTGGACCGCTCAGACTGACAGAAAACTTTATGTATAACTTTTTTCCATTATACAGTTTATAAAATCATGCTATTGGTTAGTGCATATACAGAGCGTCCCATATCATATTAGATTATCTCTAATCTTTAACGACAAAATAAACCCTTAATACTCGAAGAACTTATCATTTTCCGCAAGAAAATTCTTATATAAGCCTTATGTTATTTTTCAAATTGATTTATTCGAATTAAATTTTCTTATTAGTCCCGAAAATCGCAATTTAGACCCGTTGACGGTCTAATATGATGTGGGACACCCTGTAGGGGTTATTGACCCTCCCCTGTTCAACTAAGAATTTAACCAGGGCCTTGAAACGTGTTAGAAATATATTTTGATATTTGGTGCATTTTTGTAAATCTGGCGTAGAATCAAATCTAAGGAAAATCTAACATCGTAAAGATTTAAGAAATTTCAGTAAAATATATAAGACTAGGCATTCATCGAGCCCAACTTCTATTTTAACATTAAGTTTAAATATAATTCAATAATACATATTCGTGGATTTTCAAAATTTTATGAAAATCGTAATTTTTTAAAGGCAAATTTTTTAAATTGTTATCATCCATAAACCTTCCTTGGGGTCATTTGAGGTCCAACAAAAAAATCGGGCCCGATCAGTTCAGCCGTTTCGACGTTTATTGTATACAAACAGACAGACAAGCAAAGTATGTATATAAATAAACGGATTGCATTGACAACGTTCTAACGAAGGGTAGGGGGTCTAAACATCATTGTCGATAATTTGATGTACTTTTCCAACATTTCAATAAGTAGTAGTTGAACCTGTGGTCCGTGGTTCAATTCTAATTGGAAGAAATTGTTTGTTAGGAATATGTTGTTGTTTACCCCAATACTATAAATATTAAATAACCTCTCAATATTAGATTTATGGGGGAAATATTCACAAATTAGAAAACATTTATTTATATTTGTAATTGAATGTTAATGTAAATGTAACAATACATACGTAAAATATACATATATTTATGTATCTCTACATATATGAACATAAATCTGACATACATGCATGGAAAATATATCATATCATAGAGAATATTGACAGGGTTAAGTATTTATTTGTTATGCTGCACCTCGGTCTCTCTAAATTTAACAAGTACTCCCTGACTTATTGTAAACTTTCAAAACCTAGTAATATTTATCATATTGTAAACGTTTTAATATTAATTAGGTGGGGATAATACCCAAAACAGCAAATAGCTGATCTCCACATAATTGCTATAATTACATAAATATAGTAAAAATCATAAAAATAGTTGCAGATTCCTTGCCTGTAACATTATAACTTGTATGCGCATTATTACCAATATACTATATCTTATCAGTTTTAGTTTGTTTTTTATCATTTAAAGATTATTGGAGGTTATTGAAAATACTTCTTAATCCTTAAAATCTTTAAAAGCTAAAAACAAAAAATAATTCCTGAAAACTTATTTAAGAGAAACCCTAAAAGTAAAACATTGCAGAAAACTACTAATAATGCCTAAAAGTACTAAATGATGCCTAAGAAATATAGTAAACCTTTAAAACCACTATCAAATCTCTTATGTTATCCCTGAAAACTAATAAGAAATCCATTGAAACTACAATATAATCCTTAAAAAACGACTGGTTGTCCCTTACGTTTACTACTTTATGTCTGAAATCTACAAGTAATATCTGAAAGCTACTATTAATCTCTGAAAACAATTATGTAAACCCTGATAACGACTAGTAATAGTTATCCCTTAAGTCTACTAGATAATAATCTACAAGTAATCTTTGAAATCTACTAGTAATCTCTGAAATCTACTAGTAATCTATGAAATCTACTAGTAATCTCTGAAATCTACTCTCTGAAATCTACTCTCTGAAATCTACTAGTAATCTCTGAAATCTACTAGTTATCTCTGAAGAAGACTATGAAATCCCTGAAAACGCCTAGTAATCTCTGAAATCTACTAGTTATCTCTGAAAACTACTATGAAATCCCTGAAATCTACAAGTAATCTCTGAAATCTACTAGTAATCTCTGAAATCTACTCTCTGAAATCTACTAGTAATCTCTGAAATCTACTAGTTATCTCTGAAAAAGACTATGAAATCCCTGAAAACGACTAGTAATCTCTGAAATCTACTAGTTATCTCTGAAATCTACTATTAATCTCTGAAATCTACTAGTTATCTCTGAAAAAGACTATGAAATCCCTGAAAACGACTAGTAATCTCTGAAATCTACTAGTTATCTCTGAAAACTTCTATGAAATCCCTGAAATCTAGACAAGTAATCTCTGAAATCTACTAGTAATCTCTGAAATCTAGACAAGTAATTTCTGAAATCTACTAGTAATCTCTGAAATCTACTAGTAATCTATGAAATCTACTAGTAATCTCTGAAATCTACTAGTAATCTCTGAAATCTACTAGTACTTTCTGAAATCTACTAGTTATCTCTGAAAACTACTATGAAATCCCTTAAATCTACTTGAAATCTCTGAAATCTACTAGTAATCTCTGAAATCTACTAGTAATCTCTAAGATCTACTAGTTATCTCTGAAAACTATTATGAAATCCCTGAAATCTACGAGTAATCTCTGAAATCTACTAGTAATCTGTGAAATCTACTAGTTATCTGTGAAAACGACTATGAATTCCCTGAAAACTATTTGTTTAATTAAAATCTATTTGTTTTACTATTTCGAGGTCAATTTAATGCTTGACAATTATTATGGTTCTGGGAAATGAGGCGGATCAGCGTGCTAATCTGGCTGATCAAATTCTAGTTTTAATTATGAGCCAAGTATAGATTCTGTGGAATTCTTTATTAAATACGAGCATTTTTATAGATTTTAAGAATCTATTTAAGTACTTTATCCTTGGGGCTTAGCCAGGTTCAACATACAACTGCAGTGCTTTAAGTCCTATAGCTTGGGCCTATCTCCTAGATATGTGTCTGATAGAATATGTGTCCACAATATCATACTATCATCCTTTTTATTTAATACAGGGTGCAGTGTCCCTATAAGCATGGGAATCAAGAGACAACATGAAAGTCGTCTTTGATTTCTGATATTTAATGCATAGCAAAGAAACAATACAAACGAGGCTGTACGTCTTACAAGCTTTTCATAAAGGGGTCTACCGTTCTTGTGTCTTAAAAATTGACGATGACAATTTTGATTTGTTAAATTAAACTTTGTACAAATTTTGCAATATCTCCGTCAATTTTAAGATGCAAAAACAGTAGACCACATTTTGAAAATCTCAAGACTAGACGTTTTCGATATTAAATGTTTAAACAGTTGTATAGAGATAAACGATTCCCTTCTGCAATAATTGTGTTCACGTAAAAATGCCACATGGATTGAGATGATAAAATTATAAGTCGTCACTGATTTCTTATTGTTTTGGGACACCCTGAAATAAAATTAGGATTCTTGCTATTTTTTGGCCAAAGACTTTTTTGGACATTTGGAGAAATTAGGGCAGTTTTATTGACATTTAATATTTTATTTTATAGTTTGAAAAATTCAATCGGAAATTTGTCAAAAGTTAATAATGCTTTGCAATGTTCTAAACTTTATTTTAAATAGTTTAGCATTAAAAGAGTTTTCACGCAGTTGTTTTTGCACTGCACACAAAGCCAAAATTGCACGGATTATTTGCACAAACTATTTGCCAGTGAATCTGTGCACTTTCTGTCTCTGTTCTGCGGTAAAATAAAGTGCAAATAGTTGAGTTTGTATCCTTATTTATCAATGTCTGTCTGTCTGTTTGTCTGTCTGTCAGCTCAGGTTAAAATGTAAGAACGGCTGAATCAAATAAGCTCAAAAGGTCGCTAGTGCATTATTTTGATATCCTTAGAATTGAAGAATTTTCTCTTTAAAAATACTTGAGGTGGGGATTTTTTTCAGTAAAGTTTAAATGGATCTACGCAAACGTCTAATTCTGCCAAAAAATTATGAATGAACAACGAAAATTAACAGAAACAAATATAAAATCATGCACTTCTGTCAACAACGCGACGGGAGAAGCTAAAAAACCTATCTAATTATATTCAAGCTAATACAAATTTTAAAAGTCAAAAAAATAGATGGATAGTTTAAATTTTGAAGTAAATCTCATTGTAGAGTTTCTATTTCTATTAATTAAAGAAACTGAAACTTTGCCACAAGCTCAAATTATCTAATCCCTATATATTTGCAACCTGCTAGTGTAAATTTTCTATAATTCAAACTTCGATTATTTGATTTAACAGAATTTATAGTTAGACATATCTAAAGTCTACAACATTGGGATATTAGAATTAGAAAATATGAGTTTGTAGCGAAAACTCAATTCCTTTGGTCTAAGATCTTACATTGAAACAATGAAGAAGTTTATTGATTTCTAATTGGTTGGGTAAATATGCAAAAACGAGCAAGATTGGTAAAATGTCAGATTTTATAAAACCTAGTAAATTATAGATTTTCAAGTTTTAATCTTCAATCTTCCTAAAATATGTTTTCTTTTGCCTTCTTTTCTAAATCGCAAAAGTGCTACAATAATTCAATAAGAATTTTTGTATACAGTTTTATATTTTATTCTATTCAGCGCAGGGCTTGTCTGTTTAAGAATCTGTGAGGCTGCCCTAAACAAACTAAACTAAAACTATAAATATATTTTTAAATATGTTTCTAATTATCTTCCTACACGAGAGTGTGAACAAATAACATATCTCTGAGACATTTTCAAGATCATTTTCAAAATTCCCCTGTAGTATCGGCTTTACTCTCTAATTTGCTAATTATCAATGTTATGCTTTGTTGATTTCTAGAATTTTATCATTACTGAAGAAAATCAATACTTTCAAATTTATATAATTCCTTAAAAGGATTGTCAGCGTAACTTCAAGTGATCATAAATTGGTACGCCCAATTCACAATGGTACCCCTTACATCTTTATCTGGTCAGCTGTAGGGAGGATATTGTAAAAAGTGTCGGTTTCTATTAGTAACTCTCTCTGTCTCATGCTTTCTAAAATCCGCAGGTCACTTTTAAGAAACCACAATTAGAAATAATCAAGATTTAGATAGTAAAACGAGAATATTTTCATCCTAATGGTATCGTTGTGCATCCAACATGTTCTTTTTTGAATGGAATGTCACTTGAAATAATATTTCAACTCCGTTTAAAAAATCAAAGGTTTGCAACTTTTTGTTTTAAATATTAATTTTTTGTATTGTTCAGGATAGATGGTTCTGGAACGGGTTCTACTTGGTAAAATAATTACAAGATCAATAAAGATGGCGTCCAATACCAGGTATAGAGTTTAAACATTTAAAAAGAAAAAATTCCACGGGCAACGCCGGCCCTTCAGCTTGTCTCTTTTATTGCTAAAAATTCAGATTTGTTAAGACAAAGTGATATCTAATGATTATAGAATTTTATAAGGATTTGGATTTGATTAGATTAGGATCTAAATATAATTTGATAGGATTTAAATAGGATTGGATTAGGATTTAAATAGGATTGGATTAGGATTGGATTAGGATTTGAATAGGATTGGATTAGGATTGGAAAAGAATTGGTTAGGATTGGATTAGGATTGGATTAGGTTTGGAAAAGGATTGGATTAGGATTTGAGTAGGATTAAATTAGGATCGGAATAGGATATGAATTGGATATGAATGAGATTTAAACAGGATTTGTGTAAGATTGGAAAAGGATCGGAATAGGGTTTATAATGAAGCATTTTGGTGTACTTTAAGGTCAACTTTAAGGTCCCCCCTAGTTTTTAATAAGCATTTTTGATATTGTTTTTTAAAATTTTTTTTTTTTTGTGGTTTGTTTTCCTTCCCCCTTCTTTTAAGTTTAGGATTTGAATAGGATTTGATTACTAATCAATGATTAGGAGTTGGTTAGGATTTGATATGAATTGATATGAACTGAGACTTAATATGGATTTGATTAAGATTTGATAAGGATTTGATTAGGATTTGATTGGGATTTGTTTAGAATTTGAATAGGATTTGATTTGGAGTTGATTGAGACTAGATATGGATTTCATTTCAGTTCAACTATCCCTACACAGCTCAATTATCCCCACACAGTTGAACTGTCCTTACACACTTCCAACTATCTCTACACAGTTTTACATACACAGTTCAACTATCCCTACCGCAGTTCAACTATCCTTGCATAGTTCACTATCCCGACACAGTTCAACTATCCCTACACAGTTCAACTATACCTACACAGTTAAACTATCCCTACACAGTTCAGCTATCCCTACACAGTTCAACTATCGATACACAGTTCAACTATTCCTACACAGTTTAGCTATCCATACCCAGTTCAACTATACCTACACAGTTCAACTATCTCTACACAGTTCAACTATCCCTACACAGTTCAACTATACCTACACAGTTCACCTATCCATACCCAGTTCAACTATACCTACACAGTTCAACTATACCTACACAGTTAAACTATCCTTACACAGTTCACCTATCCCTACACAGTTCAACTATCGATACACAGTTCAACTATTCCTACACAGTTTAGCTATCCCTACACAGTTCAACTATCCCTACACAGTTCAACTATCCCTACACAGTTCAACTATCGATACACAGTTCAACTATTCCTACACAGTTTAGCTATCCCTACACAGTTCAACTATCCATACACGTTCAACTATTCTTACACAGTTCAGCTATCCCTACACAGTTCAACTATCTCTACACGCTTTAACTATCCATACACAGTTCAACTATGCCTACACAGTTCAACTATACCTACACTGCCGTAGTTCAACTATTCCTTCACAGTTAAACTATTCACACACAGTTCAACTATCCACACACAATTCAACTATCCACACACAATTCAACTATCCATAAACAGTTCAACTATACATACACAGTTCAACTATTCCTACAAAATTTAACTATCCATACACAGTTCACCTTCTTCACGCAATGATTAAATCAGACATGAATAATGAATATGTTGAAATTACCTAATCCTCATACATGTTTTAGGAGTAAAAAGGAAGAAATTACCCGTGGAGCTATTCAAGGTTCAACACTGTTAACCTTCTCCCCCTTCCCTCCCCCCCTTTTCATCTATTTGCTGAACTTACAAATTGTTCGCACATCTGGTTCAATTTATTCAAATTCTCAAATTTCACCTGGACTTTGGNAAGGCACTTTTTCTGTAAAAGTTTAAGAAATTTAAGTTTTTCTTCTCTTGCTTGAATTCTTGTGAGCCTAGGCCTCAACTAAATTAACATAAACATAAACAAAACTTTTTTTTTCTCGGAATTTTAAAGAAATAAAGAATAGACATATCAGCCACAGTGGGTTCAAGCTCGAGGGAAATAAATGAAGTTTTCAATAAGTCCGCGAAATATGTTGAGAAAAATGGCCGGAACTGTACAGTTTGACATCTTCAATACTGCGCAGTGCGCAAGCCATCAATTTATCCTGTTGTTCAATATGTCAACATACCAGCATACTAGACCAGTCTTTCACACAAACTTATTTACTAGATAAAGGCTGTATTTTCCTTTTTTTGAATTTCAAAATAAAGAAGAACATTTTACTAAATTAAATACAAATTTTTACTTTTTTGAAAGTCAAAGCAATGCACACTCGCCACAAACCCTTTTAATCTGATACATATATCTTTGCAACCTGAACAATGTAAACCTTGGATTTTATTATTCTTATTCTATTTATTCCTTGATCATGAAATAAAATATTGATATCGGTAAATAAATGGTTAACAAGTAAAAATGAAAAGTTGGGAAACGAAATGATGATCAGTTCTCTACCTCCAGTAGCAGTACAACTAACAGTCCCAGGTAACAAACACATTTTTTTGTTTAATTGGGAAAGTAAATTTTGTGTTTATATTTATTATTCAAAACTCCTGAACTTCAGAAAGATTTTAGTATAAGAAATGAGAATAATGGATTTCGGAAAAAACTGAGGATAGTCATTTCAAATAATTAATAATTTTTATAAACATACGTATTACATTGTTACTTGTCTGTCTGTGTCCAATAAATGTCATACTAACTGAATCAACTCTAATCAGCGCTCTTCCAAACTGTGGAGCCGTGAGCTCCTAAGAGAGATCCTCTCACCGCCGAAAGCAGAAAGCAACTTAGTTTAGAAGAGTTATCTCATTGCTGTTTGCTTTTGTCTCAAAAAAGCTATATTTTCACTCTGATCAAAGATATTAACTAAAAAGATTTCTCTAACCGATTAGTATCCATGCAGTGCAATTTGATTAAAATAAAGACTTAAATTTTTACATGTTTAACATAAAACATTTTACTATATATTATTTAATTTGTTTATTTTATTTAAAACTTACAACTGAACTTGGTAAATAATCAGCAAACTGAACTTTTAACAAAAAATAATAATTGCAAATCATTCATATGTAAATCAAAAACGACAATTTGTATTAATTTTTTGGAGAAAAAGGAAACAATCTTTTCAGTAATTTTTGTAAGATATGAATTCCTTGGCAACTTGTATAATAACTTATAAGATCCAAACTTGATAGGCTAGAAGCAAGCCAATAATGTGATGAAGAAAAGATTGGAAGTTATGAAAAAGTGCTTTTTGTCGGATATAATTTACATTTCATGGAATAATGTTCTTTTTACAACTCTAGTAAAATGAATGGGTAGATAAGTATACAACACAGATTAAGAAAATACTAGCTCCACAGAACAGAGATAAAAGAAGGGAAATAAGGCTCTCCCTAGGTATTAATTAGTTAGTCCCTGAAGATGAGCCTGAAAAGGTGTTTAAAGTGCACAATTCATATGAATGTTCACAAATTATTCGCAGTTGATCACTAAAATACAGTATGTTCCCTGGACATATCCGTTACAATTTCTTCTCTATATAAAGTTTATGCTGAAATGAACTCGAGAATGTAAAGTAAAGCTTATGCTGAAATTAACTCGGGAATTCATGACAGGTTTTAAGAAAATTGATTTAGAGAAAATTAATGATTTTTAAGAAATTATTTTTCTATAAAAAGATTTTCTAGATCCAAAAGGTTATATAGCACAAATGTACACCTGCAGTATGGAAACAGCACATCAAAATGGCGGTTTTACACTTATTTCGACTAAATTCCACTCTTTACTTTTTGTTTTATTTGACTAAATCCTCTCATCCGCAAATCTTTACACCACCTTTTCCCCCTGGCCCTAACCCTAAGATTGATGTTTAAAGCTAAGAATATTTGACAAAATGATATTAATGTCTCCTATGTTCTAATATGGAATGTGACTAGTTTGATTTACATTAGAGCTGTAGAAGCATATTTCTAAAACAGGGCTGAAAAGACTTTCTAAAGATAATAAAATTAAGCATTTTGACAGTTTTATGTTTTGTTTACTTTTCAGAAATGATACACCCCTGTGAAGGAATGCAATAACTGAAGCAATATTACTTAATCAACTTTTGTGTTGTGTATTGTGTAGACAATTTATCTGAATTAAACATATTGGTTGTACAGGATTTTTTTTATCTCAAATAAAGGAACCATGTGGAAATATAAGAGACCTTATTTTTTCATTACATAATTCATCAAACATAATTATATATATAAGATATAGCTTGCTAAACTGCTGGACCAAATGGGCTGAAATTTTTGAGTGAATCTATGAGTATCCTATACCATAGGCTAAAAAAATGTCTAAATTTTTCTCTCCATTTTTTACTAAAATTTCACGGGCACTTCATCTTGTTGCTAATAATCTTTAATAGCATTATAAAAAGTGTTTTTCCATTTACTTATGATTCTTCTTTCTTCCTTATTTTCAAATTACAGGCTTGGTTTCTATTGATAGCCTAAGGCAGGCTATCAATAAAGAGATTGTTATACAGTGCTAACCAGAAAGACCCAGAATTAGTTTACAATTATTCAGACAACTCTTTACAATCTAACTTTACAAATATGATTAATGAAACGATAATCACAAAATAGCCCTAGTCCTTCCAGTTCCAAAATGTAATATGCCTTTTTTCAGCATTTAAAATTGCCAGATATGTATATATGTTAAATTGTCTAATTAACTGTCAATTAATTCCAGATCTTTCTGATTTTAAGGCACTTTTTCTGTAAAAGTTTAAGAAATTTAAGTTTTTCTTCTCTTGCTTGAATTCTTGTGAGCCTAGGCCTCAACTAAATTAACATAAACATAAACAAAACTTGATTAGATTAAGGAGCCTAACACTTCTCATTAAAAATATACTTTTCACATTTATAAAACTTACATATGTTAAATATATATATTTCCTCAAAAAATCACCTCCTTCAAAAAATTGGTTTATACTTTTTTACATTTATGTAGAATTTCTAATGCTCTTGTACAAGTATAATAAAGTTTTGATGGGAATGTAATTGGTAATGTGGAAAAATAAGCGAGGAAATTGTATTATGATTTATTGTTAACTATGTAAAATGCATTTTTGTATGTCTAAAACCTTTACTACTACACAAAACAAAATATTGAATTTGAATTGTATGTCAGCATGGTATACTTTAGTATCCCTGCACCTGGCTAAAAAGATTAATAACACTAATATATTTTTGAGAAAAGGGAGGAGGAAGGAAGTGTTTAAGTTCAATTTTTTTTTAGAAAGTTTGGATGCCTTTTTTGATGAATTTTCAATTCTACATGATGCATCTATTGGGTGGACTTCTTAAACATATAGACTAATTGGGACTAATTTAAGAATTTTTATTAATTTTAGAAATAATAAAAAAGGATTTGCAGTAACTGATTATCAAGGAATGATTTCAGAGCCACCTTTGATGCATACATCTTAGGGAAAAAAAACTGTACACTCACAGTAGTTTTGCACGTCCATTAGTGTCTGTTCCAATCAGAGTTCACTCACATGCTTGGTGAGTACTCAGGACCAATAGAATTGCAAAGAAAGCAATTTATCTATCTGTATATTCAAATATTATAATATTACAATCAGAGATTTACATGTAAATTAGTGGTAACAACTAAATGGAATTCTTTACTTATATTGAAACTAAGGTCCACTTTTAATCTATGTCAACTTTTCAAAATATAATTTGTAGCAATCTTTACAATTCTTAATTTCCATTTTCTCTGTGTGTTTTGAAATCTGAGCTCAAACCTTTGTGTTTGTATAAAATGCCTTCTTTTTGAGCGAAAATTTTATGTTTTTTCAAAAATAAAATGGTATTGAAGGTTTTAAAAGCTAGTTTTTGTACATTTTCTTTACACTTTTCAGATTATTAAATGCCTTTTTTTCGAAATTAGAAAATGTAAATACTTTCAAACTAGAGGTTTTTGCAGTAGTGAGATTTGAAATTCCAAAATGAGAATATAAAATTTCAACTTTTATTTTCAAACTCTGGTATTGGCNTTTTGAAATCTCACTACCGCCAATACCAGAGTTTGAAAATAAAAGTTGAAATTTTATATTCTCATTTTGGATTTTGAAATCTCACTACCGCCAATACCAGAGTTTGAAAATAAAAGTTTAAATTTTTTATTCTCATTTTGGATTTTCCTATCTCACTTTTTATTTTTTTTCATGAATCTCACTACCTTAGAACTTGACACTATATACTTTTATTTTATAAAACTGGGGCATTTTATACCTACAGCAAACCTTTAGGATGAAATATCCTTAATCCAAATTACTTAATCTAAGTATCCAATGGACACACTTATGATTGTTTTCTTAATTCTCTCTTTTTGCATACCCCTACTGTATAACAATTACAGATACGATGCTATATCGATTGGACTAATATCCTATTGAACTAAAGTCAGCTGTTCACAATCGGCCTTTAGAGCATTTAGACAAGTATAAACTCAATCATGTTAATATGAACTTATTAAAAACATATTTTATCACATTTGAGGCCTTAAGTTATTTTTAATGTTAGTCTTGATAAACATTAATTAAAAACTTACGTTTGTTCAATCAATCTCTAGTTCAATTAATATGACACCATCAACACCATAAATGTGCTAAAAATAAAAACCGGTTTTTCAAAAGTTAAGGAGCCCATCTTGTTGAATTTTAAACTTCTTTCTTGGATATCAAATGCATTTAAAATAATCTTGGGATTAGTAAACCCAGGAGATCAAGCTTTGATCTTGATATCAACCATTCTAAAGTTTTCAGCTCAGATATTGTTTGATGGAAAAGGAGAAGGGTGGAAGGAAGGGAATGATAGTTTGGTTGAATGAACACTCTGTCCTCAACTCAGACTTTACAGACTTTGTAAAGTTTTTTTTATATTTTTACAAAATAATTTAGGGATGAAATAAAATACAAAATATCATACTTTAAGAGTTGGAAGTATGCTTTAAATTTTAGAACTAATAATGAAATTTACATTTCTATTTTTGCAATTTAGACTAAAACTTCTTTAGTTTTATATTCTGCAGAGAAAATATTTGAGTTTTTATTAATATTTCGCAGAAAGTTGTTCACCCAAATCCTCCAAACAGAGAATATGGATGGAAAGAAAACTTGTTTGTTTGCTGTTCTATGTTTTTAAAGTTTCCATATCAAAATTGTATCTAATATAATTTTGTTTTTGTTCAAAACCAGTTCAAAGTTTGAGCTGCAAATGCCAAAAACTAAGTTGCAGATTAATTTTGTATACTTTGCACTTTGCAGAGACTTAAAAACTGGCGTTTCAAAACATTTATGACTTATAAAATTTATTAGAATAACACAGATGCAAGTCAAAATTGTATTACAAGAAAAAACCTAAACTGTGGGGAAAATATTTAAGTTTTTGGACATTGTTATGAAATATGAATCAATTTTTTGGGGTCTTAAATGTTTAAAGCTAGCTTTTGTTAAAATTTGCTGTTTCTTATGTGATAAATGGGTTTTGAAGTGACATGACGCTCTGCATTTAAATTCTTTGAACTGTGGTTTTAAAATGGATGTTTTATAGTCTAACTCTGTTCTTTTCTTCAAATCTATAGAACTGATGCAGTATTTTAAAATCTTTTTATTTACATTTAAAATAAAACATTTTATAATTTAGCATACTTGGCATTTTTTTCCTTTATCTCATTTCTACAAATATGAATCCTGTCTACTGAATTGAGGTTTTGATCCTTCAATCTGAAAGGCTTAGTTTGCCAATACTTTTGAGATAATCTACTAAACTTGGTATTGGAAAAGGCAGTGGTGCAGTAAACAGCATTTCAGAAGAAGTAATTGCAATTAAAAGCATGATCAGAAATAAAAATCAAGATAGAATATTTAGATTTACATTTTAGATATTTTAATTTATCTAAATATCTTAACTTGTTATCTCCCATTTGGTCGCATGTCACCTAATACAATGAATTTTAGCTACCTTGCTGAACTACCTTCTGCCAGTATACATTTGAACCACCAATTCAAAAGATTCAGGAAAACGATAGAAAATTTGAACTGTTAGTAGGCAGTTCAGCGGCCCGCAAATATGTAAAATTCGGTTCCTGGAAAAAAATTGTAACTGCATTTCCTTTGTTTAACCTTAGATTAGTATCTAACACATAATTTTCCCAATTCTACCCAACCCTAATTTTAAACAGCAATAAATTTTGATTCATACTCAAGAGAGAAAATTGCTTTTTTTGTAAGAAACCTTCAAGTCAACTATGCAAACTATCTGTTGATGTAGGTTTTAAAAAGCAAGGGTATTTGTTGGGTGTAGAGTTCTATTAGAAAATGCTTGACCTCCCCCCACCTCCATTTAAAATATAATTTATATATATTTAATATTATGCTTTGGACTTGAAAATTAATAGTTGCCATTAAATCATATGTGACTTAAATTGTTCCAAACACTCCTAACTTGTTTCATAGAAATTTTTGGGATCTAATTACAAACATCATCAGCAATCATTTTGAAACTATTCATATAATGTGGGCCATTGCTCTTATAAGGTGAATTGTTAGCAAAAGTTATAGAATCAAGTCTATTTTTCATGTACAAATTGACTGCAAAAATTAATACCCTTTGGATAATTTACACAAGTAAAGCTTATTAGTTTGTGTAATTTAAATACTACAAGAACTATTAAAAAGGTTGTTATTTCTTCAGCTTGTATAGGCTGTCAAATAATTCATTCATGCGTCAAAATTTGGTTTTATGTTTACATTTACAGTAAACATTTAAAATTTATTAGATGAGGTTTTCAGGGAAAAGTGGGATTTTATTGAACTGAACTGGGATGGAAATCAATGAATTGGACTACCTTCTTACACTGCATTTGTTTAAATCCTGGATTGCTGATTCAAAGTTAAAGATTCATGAGGATTTGAATCAGTGATTCAGGATTTGAACTGGCAGTAAGTAGGTTAGTGAGCTCTATGCATGGGATTGTTAACCTTCTTGGATATACAAATCATACCCTAATTATTGGAATCATGAACTAAGTATGAATATCTTACCTCTAGAATGATGTCCCAGATTGTAAGAATGATAAATAATTTTGTCAACATAATCTTATTTTTAACTAATTATTTTAAAGATCAGTAGCATTTGGTGCAACAAGTGATGATTTTAATGAAAGAAATTAACAATCATTACCTATGCATCTGGGTAATACTTGAGTGATAAGCTAGACCTAGTGTTCCTTATTCCAAATATGTTATAACAGGCAAGAAATCCCTTCTTACAAGATCTAATTTTGATGTATGTATGATCTGAACTAAGAAATTCCCTTTGCAGATCATGACACAAATTTAATTCAATTTTGATTTTATTAAACATAGTTGTTATTTTTTTATATTTGATTTGATCTTTGATCAATAAGCAAAAATGTGAATTGAATTGAATTGTTCATATTTATATTGTTACTATTCCCTAAAGGAATAAATTGCAAAAAATATATATATATAATGACCTCAGTGATTATAACTGGGTACAAAGGATGATTCTTTAAAACACTAGTTTATACTAGTAAGTACATTTTAAAGAAATTTATTACAGTAATGAATATTATAGTTTATAAAGTATAAGAGGCCAAAAAATTTAATTAATATTATTTATCTAATTTTCTTAATAAAAAAGATAATTTTTCTGAAAGATGTTAAAATTCCTAATATCTTGCTGTATTCCCCACCTTTGTGTAGATTACAAATGTGTAGAGTATAGAGAGTGTGTTTCTACATATCCTTTAATATTTCGAATTGAGAAGAAGGAAGGAAAAGTTTTAGTACAATTTAAATTCTAGGATAGGATCCCTCTTCAAGAACTCAACCCAGCAATTTATTTTTTACGAATCAGATTGAACATTGGTTTAACTTTTCTTTAATATATTTCATATTCTCTGCTTGGAAGTCTATATATAAATTTGGCTTGTCGATATCTGTTTGTTTGGATTCTATTAAGCCGCTGAACCAATCAGGCCGAAATGACCTTAGAGAAAGGTTTATGATCAGCATATTATTTTTTTGCAACCATTTCGCTTCATTTTCGCATTTTGTTTGCTCGCAAAAATTTTTTCTTCTTTTTAATTAATTAATGGATTAACACAAAATATAAATATAGATTTAAAAATGACTTGGAAACACCAGACATTTTGCGAAAATTCTCATTTTTGCAAAATTTTCGCATTTTGCATTTTCGCGAAATGCGACCAAAAGTTTTCGCATTTTTTCGCAAAATGTTTCGTTTGCTGGAAACCCTACTCTTCACACAGGAATGTAATTTACTAAGGTTGGTCCTTTGGGTTATTATTGAATCCCTTGGGGGTTTAAATTTCCATCAATTCAAAATTTCCCAGAGTTAATGATACATTTTAGGACAATGAGGTTAAAAAATGTTACCAGGAATTTAGAAAGAATATTCTTTTCCTTTATATGTTCTCCTTCATGCACCCTTGAATAATATTAGCATTAGTTGATTGATTGATTGATAGAGGGGAGATACCGATCAGTGACACTTAAATAGATTAGTGCGGGGGAAGAGCCTTAAATAATGTAGATATAGTAATTAAGGGGCATTTTAATTATAACTTATTTCGTACATACTCTAAATTTAAAAAGGAGTTTTAGACAGCTACTTTATATCAGTTTTTACTTTTGTAATTTGTAAGTTTTGTTATTTTTTATATATGTTCCCCTGTCCCCTTGAAGAGGAAAATTTATGTTTCTATCATTGATATATTCGACGCTATACAAATAAATCATGTTCTGTCAATACCCTGGCTATAATACCTACTTTCTTGTCCTAAGATTCTGAAATTTGACAATGTTAAAAGTTAAATATATCTCATTCAGAAATGTTTAATAATAAGGTTGCTTAGTTAATGTCTGATATATGTTTGCTATATATTAACAATATCTAGGATCTTTCCTATATATATATCCTTTATTCTAGGATATCTGCTAAACATCTGTTATTTATAGGATGTCTGTTGTATATTTACCTTATCTAGGATGTGTCCTATATATTTGCAATTTCTAGGATGTCTGCTATATGTTTGCTATTCTAGGATGTCTGCTGTATATATAATATATCTTGGATGTCTGCTATAAATCCGCTATTCTAGGATGTCTGCTATATATCTGTTATGTATGTCTCTGTTTTATATTTACTATATCTAGAATGTCTGCTATATGTTTGTTTTTCTAGGATGTCTGCTATATATTTATTATATCTAGGGTATCTTCTATTTATAGGCTGTCTGCTATATTTTTGCTATTTCTAGGATGTTTCCTATATATCTGCAATTCTAGGATTGCTGCTAAAAAATAACTTTTTATATTGCTAGTGCTATATATTTACTATATCTAGGATTATATTTGTTATATCCAGTATATCTGCTACTAATATATCTGCTATACTAAGGATGTCAAGATCTGCTAAACGATGCATGACGAGTGCTAGAGAATCTGATCTGCTACAGAAAGTAAAAAGTGTGGTCCCCAATCTAGTCAATAGTATGCATAAGGTACTTCATTTTTATATATTTTTTTATCACTGCTTCTTTTCTTTTTGTTTATGGTTTAAAGGGAGTGGCCGGCTATGTAAGGTAGTTGAAGTGAGTATACAGTGTTGTGGAAAACTTCTTTCGGATTCATTTGAGACATATTAAACTTTTCAAAGATCTGTAAATCCTGAGTTTGAGCGCAAATTCGACGTTCAATACGTGGATACGTTTTATATAAAAGAAAAATGATTAGTAAATTATTCAGAATGATATCTTCAAATGTGAAATTAATCTCAAAATTTTCTTATTTTTTTACAATTATGAATCAATACTTAAAGGTAATATTTTCTCAAATCACCTTGTTACTCTAACTTTAAAATACAAAAATGATAATTAATAAAACATATGTTGACCTCCATGATATTGTTGATGTATTTTGTGAGAATATTTGTAGTATTGAAGGATTTATTGTTGAAATAGTGAACTCAGCTTCAGGTTCAAGATTCTTTATCCTCAATATAATTAGGGCTGGGAACGTCAAACCTTTTTAACCTGTTTGTTCACTGTTTAACTGCTTTTTCCATTGGCTTTTTTTTTGTTCTTAAATAAAGTTGTGCTCGTCAACAATGGCATTACGGCGTTAGGTTAAATATTTGTACTGGGGCTTCCTGTTCCCTTTTTATTTTACTGTATTAATGCTTTGAAAATTAACGGTTTTTTGTCAATGTCTATCGTTAACGAATATTATAGGAATATCCAAGGATGTTGATGAATATGGATATCCAAGGATGTTAATGAATATGGATATCCAAGGTTCGTGAATATGGATATCCAAGAATGTTTATGAATATGGATATCCCAGGATGTTCATGAATATGGATATCCAAGGATGTTTATGAATATGGATATCCAAGGATGTTTATGAATATGGATATCCAAGGATGTTTATGAATATGGATATCCAAGGATGTTTACGAATATGGATATCCAAGGATGTTTATGATTATGGATATCCAAGGATGTTTATGAATATGGATATCCAAGGATGTTTATGATTATGGATATCCAAGGATGTTTATGAATATGGATATCCAACGATGTTTATGATTATGGATATCCAAGGTTCATGAATATGGATAGCCAAGGATGTTTATGAATATGGATATCCAAGGATGTTAATCCATATGGATATCCAAGGTTCATGAATATTGATATCCAAGGTGGTTTATGAATATGGATATCCAAGGATGATTATGATTATAGATATCCAAGAATGTTTATGTATATGGATATCCAATGATGTTTATGATTATAGATATCCAATGATGTTTATGATTACAGATATCCAAGGATGTTAATGCATATGGATATCCAAGGTTCATGAATATGGATATCCAAGGCTCATAAATATTGATATCCATGAATGTTAATAAATATGGATATCCAAGGATGTTTATGAATATGGATATCCAGAAATGAATCTGAATATGGAGATTCAGGGAGGGTTGTGAACTTGTGAATATGGAAATCCAAGAAGGGTTTACAGTATATTTATATAAAGGGACAGTGTGGTAGAATAGCTGTATAGTATATTTATTTAAAGGGACATTGTAATAGAATAGTTGTACCGTATATTTATATAAAGGGACAGTGTGGTAGAATAGTTGTACAGTTTATCTATATAAAGGGACAGTGTGGTAGAATAGTTGCACAGTTTATTTATTTAAAGGGACAGTGTGGTAGAATAGTTGTACAGCTTATTTATTTAAAGGGACAATGTGGTAGAATAGTTGAACAGTATATTTATATAAAGGGACAGTGTGGTAGAATAGTCATACAGTTTATTTATTTAAAGGGACAGTGTGGTAGAATAGTTGTACAGTATATTTATATAAAGGGACAGTGTGGTAGAATAGTTGTACAGTTTATCTATATAAAGGCACAGTGTGGTAAAATAGTTATACAGTTTATTTATTTAAAGGGACTGTGTGGTAGAATAGTTGTACAGTTTATTTATTTAAAGGGACAATGTGGTAGAATAGTTGTACAGTTTATTTATTTAAAGGGTCAGTGTGGAAGAATAGCTGTACAGTTATTTATATAAAGGGACAGTGTGGTAGAATAGCTGTACAGTATATTTATATAAAGGGACAGTGTGGTAGAATAGTTGTACAGTATATTTATATAAAGGGACAGTGTTGTAGAATAGTTGTACAGTATATCTATATAAAGGGACAGTGTGGTAGAATAGTTATACAGTTTATTTATTTAAAGGGACAGTGTGGTAGAATAGCTGTATTCGGAGGGTGTATTCTCTACACTGGAGCTCCATACTTTGCAGCTATATCAGCCTTAAAGGTCAGCTATCTCCTTAATCAAATATATTTCATTAATTTCAATAATAAATACACAGTGTAAGGGGTGTATGTTTTCTTGACAAATCATTCCCCCACCCCTCCTCTTTTGAAAATATTTTTTTCCCCCATAACTTCATAAGTTAGATGTGTTTGCGCGAATCTAAATTTTTTATGGTTTTATTTTGTTTTATTTGGTTTTATTTGGTTTTATTTGGTTTTATTTGGTTTTATTTGGTTTTATTTGGTTTTATTTGGTTTTATTTGGTTTTATTTGGAGAAAATAAATGATTTAATAGGGAAAATAAATCAATTTGAGGCTAAACTATAAGAAAAAAAACTTGCCTTTCGATGTCCAATCCTTCCAACTCTGGAATACTGAAACTTAAATCCATAATCTCAATTGGTTGAAAGTTCACTTCCTGTTTTCTCGGATTCTGCATTTATGTAGATGCACTTAGAATTCATGTATAAATAATTAACATGCATAAAATGTAGAGATATTTATACAAAACATTTTCATCGGGACATAATCTGCTATTTTTAATATATATTAGACAAATAAATATGTTCATAATACAGCGTACATATATATATTAGTTTATTATTTTAGTATGTTTAGTCAAATGTTGACTACACTTACAGTGATAACCAAAAAACTCTAAAATAGGAAGAAGACTTAATGGAAATTCTTAAGTATATTTGATATTGTTACAAAGCAAATAGTTTTACCAGACACTTATTAAATCAGTAATTAAGAAATATGGGTCTGATTACACTGCACAATTACTCTGTCTCATGCTTATTTGACTATTTAAACTCATAACTTGTGTCTTGAAGTCGTCTTCCTATTTCAGAGTTTTCTGGTTATCACTGTATTATTTAGAATATTTCGAATTTAACGAATTTCGCATATTTAATCTATTTTAGAATAATTTTTTTCTTCAAGATTAAAGATATTTTTATGCTTTATATTTGTACGGCTTCTAATATCCTGTGAAAGAATTGAGTCTCAAATATTAAAATAATGCAATTATCATTTTAATACAAAGTAAATCTTTGCCATAGCCCCTAATTTCTAATCCCTATATATTTGCAACCGAAGTTTGTAGACCTTAGATATTTCAAACTATGATTTTCGTCAGATTAAATAGTGTTACCATAAAAAAGTGTTATGAAATAAAGGAAATCTAAACCTAATGTGAGTAATCTACAGAGTATAAGAAAAATGTATTTACAAACTTAAAGAACTAACAAATAAAAATGATACTAATGAATCATGGAAAGCTGAAGCTCTCTGATGGACTCTCCGCCTTTCATTCGCCTCTTACGATGAATTAATCTTCTGTCTTCAGACTCTTCGTGAATACTGACTCTATACTCTATTTAGGTTTTAGCCCAGGCCAATCCTATTTTCTCATTCTAAGCCGTGGTTCATGCCTATTTGCTTGAATTTAAACCAGGATCTCGGGCAATGGTGGCTTCGGTTTTCCGCATGTTCAAACATGCTTTCAAAGCATGTTTTCTGGGTTGGTATTTTCTAACGACAAATATTTCTCCACATTGTCGACTTATCATCTGCCCCACTATCTGTCTACTTATAGCTATATACAAACGAGCTAATACGTTGTCCTGTTTAAAGGCCGGACTACTTGCAATCCGAGCTTAGCTCTGGATCCGTATGAGGACTGAAGGGGTTACTTCATTGAAACTTTCCATATTTCGAGCTATGAAGCCAACACCGGTTACAATAGTCTAAGTTTGAAATATCAAAGGTTTAAGCCTTCAGCTTGCAAAGATATAAGGATAAGAACATTTAAGTCTATGGCAATGACTCTTTTCCTTTTGACTTTTATTTCAAATTCTTTTTTTTTGTATAAATGACTAATATTTTAAAAATAGTACAAAATTGGATAATTTATTTAATGTGAAATGACGAATATTCAAGATTTAGAAAAGTAGTTTCAATTATATTACACTTACCCCAGCAAACCTGGTAAAAGGAAATTATAGAAGGATTGTATGTTATGCAAAATTGAAGGAAGAATTAATTTTTTATGTTCTTTAAGTGCCTATTTGTGTTGATGTTTATTTGCATCTTTGTTTATAAAAAGTGTACTGCACTTTCAAACTGCTTATGCTTAGTTTTTTTATATTTCTCCCAGAAACTACAATAAACGTGTGTCTTTTTAGTCACATGTGGGGTCCAAATAAATTAAAATAAATGTTTAATACTATGTATTTTCTTACAGTTAGCTACAGATACATACACTTAGTCGGTTTTCAATACGACTACAGAAAAAAGTTACTGTACATGTATTCTATATTTTAAGTGCAATGTGGAATTGTACATGTATGTATTCTGTATAGCATATGAACGATGTACAATTAAACATTTTTTCTAAATAGCATATTAACAACGTACAATTGTACCTGTAATCTGTACTTTGTATTGTATAGTATTTGTACATGTTTAGGTTGAAGTGGACCTTGTACATGCATTCTGTATTGTTTATGTACCTGTTTCGGTTGGAGTGGACCTTGTACATGTATTCTGTATTCTTTGTACATGCTTAGGTTGGAGCGGACCTTGTACATGCATTCTGTATTGTTTATGTTCATGTTTAAGTTGGAGCGGACCTTGTACATGTATTCTGTATTGTTTATGTACCTGTTTAGGTTGGAGCGGACCTTGTACATGCATTCTGTATTGTTTATGTACCTGTTTAGGTGGGAGCGGACCTTGTACATGTATTCTGTATTGTTCATGTACCTGTTTAGGTTGGAGCGGACCTTGTACATGCATTCTGTATTGTTTGTGTACCTGTTTAGGTTGGAGCGGACCTTGTACATATATTCTGTATTCTTTGGACATGTTTAGGTTGGAGCGGACCTTGTACATGCATTCTGTATTTTTTATGTTCATGTTTAAGTTGGAGCGGACCTTGTACATGTATTCTGTACTGTTTATGTTCATGTTTAGGTTGGAGCGGACCTTGTACATGTATTCTGTGAGAAAGATGCTGGAACTGTGATAAAGACGTATAGTCCTGAACTCATTGTACACCCTGTACTAGGTAATAAACCAGTGTATTCTACACCCTGTACTAGGTTATAAACCAGTTTATTCTCTACACCCTGTACTATTTAATAAACCAGTTTATTCCACATCCTGTACGAAGTGATAAACCAGTTTATTCTATACCCTGTACTAGATAATAAACCAGTTAATTCTACACCCTGTATTAAGTAATAAACTAGTTTATTCTCTACACCCTGTACTAGGTTGTAACACAGTTTATTCTACACTCTATACTAGGTAATAAACCAGTTTATTCTACACTCTGTACTATGTAATAAACCAGTTTATTTTACACTCTGTACTAGGTAATAAACCAGTTTATTCTACACTCTGTACTAGGTAATAAACCAGTTTATTCTACACTCTGTACTAGGTAATAAACCAATTTTTAGGAAACATAATGGTTTGGTTGAAATATTTGGAAATCTAGTTAATCTTGTAAATTTGATTTTGGTTAATTCCTTATTATCTTCAAATTATATATTAATAAGTTCTAAATAAGTATATTTTGACCTTGACACCGAAAATTAAAAATATACTTATTCAGAACTATATGTTCTATGTAGATATAAAATATGAATGAATTTTTTTGTGTTATCAGAGCTGAAAAAGACTTTTCTTAATATGTTTTAAGCTGATATAAACTCTTTACTGAATAATTAACAATAAAAGATATTTAATTGTTTTTAAAAAAAAATCCCATTAAGATTTAATCCTAAATTTTGGAATTTTTTAAAAGTGTTCTGTTAATAAATTTTGAAGTTTTAAAAAATTGGTTTAGGTCCTAACATAAATACAAAAGGCAGCAAGATGAGAAAATGTCCATGAATAATAGTTCATGCCAATATAATATAAACCATTCCTAATCTATAAAACACAAACCGTCTGATTTTAAAGAATTTTTCTAACCTACAACATTAGATATGATTCCCTGTATCATAAATAAGGTTTACTGAGATAATTTATAAACATTTCATGATTCTCCATCTTTTTTATCTTTTTTATTTCAGATAAGAAATCAAATCCATAAATTTACTACTTTTAACAAAGGTTCTGGTTCCCTCATGGACTCATTAATCTCTGTAAACCTAATATACCAATTTTGGGGTTTTCTGTTCTTTCATAAATCCGTTAAAAAACAAACAAGCTTATAAACGATACAATGTATCCTGCATTTCTAAACATTTGATATATTTGTTATTTTAAAATTCAAATTAGGTTTCTTTAAAGGTGTGTCTGTCCTTTTTTCAAGATCACATTTTTTCATCAGCGAGATCTCAAAAATCTTTTAAGATAAACATCCTGTGAATTAATGAAAATGAAAGAATGAATAACCTAATGAAAGAATGAATAACCTAATGAAAGAAGGGATAACCTAATGAAAGAATTATTATCCTAATGAAAGAAAGAATAAGTAACGAAAGAATGAATATCCTAATGAAAGAATGAATAACCTAATGAAAGAATGAATAACCTAATGAAAGAATGAATAATCTAATGAAAGAATGAATAAACTAATGAAAGTATGAATAATGAAAGTATGAATAACTAAAGAAAGAATGAATTAACCTAATGCAAGAATGAATAGCCTAATGAAAGAATGAATAACCTAATGAAATAATGAATAACCTAATGAGAGAATTAATAACATAATCAAAGAATGAATAACATAATAAAAGAATGAATAACCTAATGAAAGAATGAATAACCTCATGAAAGAATGAATATCCTAATGAAAGAATGAATATCCTAAAAAAAGAATGAAAAACATAATGAAAGAATGAATAATCTAATGAAAGAATGAATAACCTAATAAAAGAATGAATATCCTAATGAAAGAATGAATATCCTAATGAAAGAATGAAAAACATAATGAAAGAATGAATAATCTAATGAAAGAATGAATAACCTAATGAAAGAATGAATAACCTAATGAAAGAATGAATAAACTAATTAAAGAATGAATATCCTAATGAAAGAATGAATATCCTAAAAAAAGAACGAAAAACATAATGAAAGAATGAATAATCTAAGGAAAGAATGAATAACCTAATAAAAGAATGAATATCCTAATGAAAGAATGAATATCCTAATGAAAGAATGAAAAACATAATGAAAGAATGAATAACCTAATAAAAGAATGAATGACATAATGAAAGAATGAATAACCTAATTAAAGTATGAATAACATAATGAAAGAATGAATAACCTAATAAAAGAATGAATAACCTACTGAAAGAACCTTGATAAAGCTAGCTCTTGTCAATTCAGCAATTTTTGAATCCTATTCCATATTTATATTAAATAGTTTTCTNTTGAATTATAAAGTGGTGTGAATCGACTATGTACCTCTTTAAATGGAGGCTTGATTAGAATTACACCAACAGTCCCTATAAATCATTAAATTTAAAAATCGGTGATGATTGAACCATCTTTTCAACTCCATTACCAATGACCTTGCCAAATTATAAATTGACCAAATAATTAATCCACGAGTTTGTTAAATCCCAAAATAAGGTGAAACCGGTTTATATTAAATAAACTCATGTTGGAAAATGTAAAGAAATTAGTTGCATTGAAATAGGTCCTCTTTCTGTACTCATATTAACACACTTCATGAGGACTGTTACTAAATAGGTCCTCTTTCTGTACTCATATTAACACACTTCATGAGGACTGTTACTAAATAGGTCCTCTTTCTGTACTCATATTAACTCACTTCATGAGGACTGTTACTAAATAGGTCCTCTTTCTGTACTCATATTAACTCACTTCATGAGGACTGTTACTAAATAGGTCCGATGTATGTGTCCCATTTTAGTTCTTACTTAATATTTTGTCCAAATAAGAACATCCCAAATGTGCGTCAGAATAAGAGCGTTCTGAATGCGCGTTTTAAATAAGTTGCGTCAGGAATGTGAGTCCTTTAAGTGCATCATGAATGTAAGTCTAAATAAATAAGTGAGTCCGAATAAGTTTGTCCTGAAAATTGCGTCATAAATGTGTGTCTCAAAATGTGCGTATCATGAATGTGCCTCCGAATAAAATGCGCCATGAATGTGTGTTCGAAAAAGTGCGGCATGAATGTGCGTTCTAAATAAGTGCGTGATGAATGTGTGTCCTAATAAATGCATCATGAATGTGCCTCCGAAAAATTGCGTCATGACTGTGTGTCTGTTTTAAGTGCATCATTAATGTGGGAACGAATAATTGCTCCCACCAAAGAATGTTTCCAGTTTTCAGACAACGTAGAATACCCAATATCTATATATAATATACATATGTGTAGATACTGAGTACGGTATGGAGGAGATTGATTCATGGCTTCCCAGGTAAATATATATAAATATATAATATGTAATGGTTTAAAGGGATTGTTAGCGTCATTTCAAATCATTCTGCATGCAAAAAGGAGAATACCCGATTTGCAACAGTACCATTTAAACCCTTTGACTGATCATCGATGGCAGTGAACTCCGTGAGTTTATCTCTAAAATAGTGTCAAAGTTGCCGGAAAGCTGGAGTGTATGCTGGCCTAAATATTCATTATTTGTGACACCAAAAAAAAAATAAAGCAGCTCACAAGGAAAGTGTTTTAAAACTACAAGCTTTTTTAGCAGAATAAAAAGGATATATATCCGACATCCTTCATCAGTTAAAGGTTTTTAGTAGATTAATAAGGATACATATCCAGCATCCTTGATCAGTCAAATGTGTTTTAGCAGATTAATAAGGATATATATCCGACATTCTTCATCAGTAAAAGTTTTTTAGCAGATTAATAAGGATATATATCCGACATCCTTCATCAGTCAAAGGTGTTTTAGCAGATTAATAAGGATATATATATCCGACATCCTCAATCAGTCAAAGGTTTTTAGCAGATTAATAAGGATATATATCTGACATCCTTCATCAGTCAAGGGTTTTTTAGCAGATTAATAAGGACATATATCCGACATCCTTGGATCAGTCAAAGGTTTTAATGGAGTTGTTATGAATAGAACATGCTACTCTATAAATGGAGGGTCTAAAATTACCTGTACAGTCCCTTAAATTACATGTACAGTACCTTAATTACATGTACAGTTCCTTAATTACATGTACAGCCCTTAAAGTACATGTACAGTCCCTTAATTACATGTACAATTCCTTAAATTACATGTACAATCCCTTAAATTACATGTACAATCCCTTAAATTACATGTACAGTCCCTTTAAGTGAAAGTTGTGCACACAAATTTGCTTCATATTCAGTAATTTCTTAAATTTTCAACAAAATAATTTTTTTTACAAAATCTTTAATGTCATTATTTTATCATATTTGGAATTATTGCATTATTTTATCATATTTGGAATTATTGCATGATTTTTATAGGATGGCAGTTTACAAAATTGCGTCTTCCAAATTATTATTGACAGTTTTGCTAAATTCACAAAAATAACTGTTTTCATCTAATATTGTAAATTTTAATGTTTAGATTACACTGTATAGTGCTGGGCCCTGGTCTTGGTAGAAATCAATCTATGTTGGGTAGAATATCTTTAATATTAGACAAGGTAGGCTTTTAACCATAAATTCTCCATTTTTCCTTTTTATACTGTTTTTAATATCGATGGTTGTTTTTTTCCGACAAAATAATTTTATTTTTTTTGCGATTTGAAAAAAAAATTAGTTTAATCTTCTTCCTGATTTTTGCTCCTTTTTTCTTTTTTTTTTGGTTGTTATTTTTCTGCAATGTTTTTTTTCTATTTGTATCCTTCTTAGGCTGTTACAAATATTAAATGTGTTTTTTGCAGACGAAATAAGTTTTTTTTTTTTTTACAATTTGAAAAAAAAATTTGTTTAATCTTCAACCTGATTTTTGCTCTTTTTTTTCTTTTTTTTTCTCCAATGTTTTTTTCTATTTCTATATCTGGCTTAATTTCCTTCATTAATCTGTAAATTACAGAATGTTTTGTTGTTCTCAACCCATTCCATCTATCCTAGAAGTCACATTTTCGTCTTTTCTTTAATCAATTAAATCCGTTATTTCATTTTATTACATAATCTAATCTCATTTGAAAAATAGAATCACAATTTAGGGCTTTTCAAGAAAATAGTTCTCAAAATGTCTAAATTCGATCAAGATAAATTATATCTTTAATGATACATTTCTCAAGTTTTTTTTACTACTCTACTTTGAGAATTTCTTTAAGTTTGTTTCTGTTTGTGTAAAATTATGTAATCTGTATTTACTAGAATTTCTTTAGGAAACGGAGTGCATTAATTTAAATAACCAGCTGTGCTGGCGGGCTTGGGAAGTTTATTTATTCACTGTTTTTCTGTTCAAAGGGATTGTTATTGTAATTTCAAGTGACCCTTCCTATAACGAATGTTAAATAACTGAATATGTTTAGAGATTGTCTAATGTCTATTCTTAGTTGAAAGTTTTAATAAATTAATTTCATTTGTAAGTTTCCATCTGATTAAAAATCTATGGATTCCAAAAAGTAATTAAATCACATCAGATTTAAAGAAATCAAGAGATATTTATAAATAATAATATACCATTGTGTTTCGTATTTTAACATTGACGCATATCAGCCATTTAATTTATATCTACAATAATGGCTGCATCAGCATAGCTGCAGCTTGGAGAAAACAAACTGTCTCAGCATTATTCCTTACAAAGGAGGGGTTGCAATCAGGGAGGCTGGATCTTTCTACCTCTCCGTGTGTATTGGCCTGAGTGTACACTTAGTATAGTTTACTGATAAAGGATGTAAAGAGATTCTATTCATACAGTACAAACATCAAATATGCAGTACGCTTTCGGAGTACAAGTGTATGGGGAGATTTTGTATATTGAATATACTCAGTCTTCTCAGAACAGTTTAATAACAATGAAAAATTGCTCTGTAAAAGACTGTAAATGTACATCTTCCTGTGAAAATGGAATCCTGCACTCGATAAAGGAGTAGGGGATTTTAATAGTTACATGGAAAACAAATTCTCCATTTAAATATTTTCAGAAATCACCCCCGAGAACTGTAATATATAAATCGACCTTTGGAAGTGAAGTACATGGCCTGTACAATTTTAAAGGATAAGCGTACATCATCACTCAATATTCTATAACCTCGTCGGTTGCAATGAAACCTCTCAGTTGAAAATGAAGAATTTCATAAAGTGTCCGACAGTTTAGGCTTTGTTTAGAAATCTTAATATCTCCGGTAATATTGAGAGCACGATAAATCAGACGAAATTTTGCTAATGCCATTAGTCGGGATAAAGTTGGAAATATTTGATTTTTTGTATCAAGAATTATACAATACACGTTTAAGTAGGTTGACATATGAAAACCAACGAAAGAAAATTACTTTCGCAATGAAATGCAAAATTTTGCGAAAATGTTCTGTCGTAATTTTACCTATTTTGTGTTGCAAAAATTAATGTTAAGAAAGGAAGCAAAAAAATATGCGAACATTTTTCATTTTTTGCGAAATTTTGCATTTATCTTTTTTTGCAAAAAATGCGAAATTTTCACGAAACGAATTCATCATCGCTGGACACCCTTCGTTATGTAGGACATCCTTTAGCTGTAAAGGTATATTGTGTTGTCAATATAAGGTCATTTAAAGTTAAATTTATTTCCCCTTTCATTCTTTTTCTTGTGGGGTACTTCTCTAACCACATCGTCCTGTGTTTGATGTTCAAGTATGGCCATCAATATCATCATAGAGAAAGTAAACGAAGAGGTAAAGCTTACCTCAGATGTACATTGTACACAACCGACCACCCTATTAATTAATTAATTAATGAGTGGTCGGTTGTGTACATCAAGAAATGTAACGTATCTAACACTGTATACACTTGTATATAGAGTGATCGTATTTCTCGGGGGTGTTTAAATGTAGATAATTGAATATTTGAATAGAAAATTAGATAGACACTTAATATGGATTGTAAACACAGGATTTTATACTGCAGTACATTCAAGTTCAGAATTGTTTGTTTATTTTATAAAAGTATGACCAAATATTGCATCGTGAAAAAATGCACAAACAACTTCTTGTAAAAATGCGAGTTTTTTCAAAATTCCAAAACACTGTGCATGGCTAGACCTTTTAAGATTGGGAGACTCCACCGTACATCCCACGAGTTAAACCGTGATCTGGCCCAAATTTTCTGTGGGACCTCACATGACCTTAGGGAAGGTTTGTGAATGATAAAAGTTTCAAAAATTTGCCAGTAACAAAATTCGATTTTCATTAAATTGAAAATCCACGAAATTTTTATTTATTAAATCAGCAAACTTTTTTTTTGATTGTTTTACAAAATGTTCACAATTGAAATAGAAGATGGGCGCCAAGCGCCCTAAAAGCCTAGTAAGTAAAACATGGATATCTCAGTTAATTTTGATCAGACAAAGGTATGGAGAGTTAATTTTGATCAGACAAAGGTATGGAGAGTTAATTTTGATCAGACAAAGGTATGGAGAGTTAATTTTGATCAGACAAAGGTATGGAGAGTTAATTTTGATCAGACAAAGGTATGGAGAGTTAATTTTGATCAGAAAAAGGTATGGAGAGTTAATTGGCATGACACGCAATAATTTGGACCGTCAATTCAAATCAATTATAATTACAATCTATATATAAATTTAGCTTGTCTGGGTTTTCTGTTTGGGTGTTTGTCTGTTTGTTTGTATCCAATAAATATCAAAACGGCTGAACTAACGGCCCCAAATTTTGTGTGGGACCTCACGTGATCCAGTTTATGAATGATTTTAATAATTTGTGTTTAAAAGTATTTTAATTAAGAAATCTGTCCATTTGTTTCTAAAACGTCAAATGCCCAATCCAATATTATCTTTATCGTCCTGTACAGTGTACATAAAGTACATCTGCAGTACTATTACACCAGAAGAATGAGCTCGTGAACGTAAAGTACATCTGCAGTACTATTACACCAGAAGAATGAGCTCGTGAACATAAAGTACATCTGCAGTACTATTACACCAGAAGAATGAGCTCGTGTACATAAAGTACATCTGCAGTACTATTACACCAGAAGAATGAGCTCGTGAACTCAGTTTTCAAGAGTTTAATTTAATCCTTCACTTCCGATTTATTGCTGCCGATTTATTGCTGGCATTCTTCACATTGTTTAATCTTAAAGATACAGATCACTTTCTACACAGATTTTAAATATTCCGCACAGGCTGTCACTGTCTGTAATGTTTTCGGAATCGTCCTAATTATCTGTGGCACACTAAACTAAGCTAGTGGGGTAGGTGTCAAGTAGGACATGGCCTATTATAGGCCGGGTTCTGTAAGAAGCCTGGTTGCACCATCAAAGTTGTAACCGGACCAACACATAATATAAGGTCGGGCCTGTACATGATGAGCGCCTGGACGACCGGTTCAAGGAGTTGGTCCGTTGGAATCGTCATATTTAATGAGTTTCAGGTCTCATCATTTGTGGTTAAACCTGTCTATGTTACTTTCGACTGTTTAAATTGATTGTGCATTAATATACATTAAATGATTCAACCCTCTGCTTCATCTTTGTTTATACAGGGTGTCCTACTACACCTACTGTTTATACAGGGTGTCCTACTACACCTACTGTTTATACAGGGTGTCCTACACCTACTGTTTATACAGGGTGTCCTACACCTACTGTTTATACCGGGTGTCCTGCACCTATTATTTATACAGGGTGTCTTACACGTACTGTTTATCCAGGATGTCCTACACCTACTGTTTATCCAAGGTGTCCTACACCTACTGTTTATACAGGGTGTCCTACACCTACTGTTTATTTCGGATGTCCTACACCTACTGTTTATACACTACAGGGTGTCCTACGCCTACTTTTAATACAGGGTGTCCTACACCTACTGAACATGGCAGTTGAGAGACAACTTAGCGTTTGAAGCAGTCTTCCATCTTTGTTAACTTATGTGCAGAAAAATATATAAATTACAAAAAATACGATTAGAAAATTTTTAACATTTCATTTGTCTAATTTTTGGTTCATTTGAGCTTCTAGCTGCAGCGCTCGATCCCCTTTTTACATGTTCTTTGGTTAGAACTTATGTTACTGAGCCAAATTTCAATATGGAAAGCACATAAAACGTTAAACTTGTTTGACAACAATGTTGGCATTCATTTGATAACCATTGAAGAAAATCGTCTCTTAACTTTATTTTTAGTGGGACACTCTGTAGATTAGAATCTTCAGTGGGATCCCCTGTAGATAAATATCTAGTGGGACACCTTGCAGATTATAATCTACTGGGACACCCTGTAGATTAAAATCTAGTGGGACACCCTGTAGATTAAAATCTAGTGGGACACCCTGTAGATTATAATCTAGTTGGTTACCTTGTAGATTATAATCTACTGGGACACCCTGTAGATTATGATCTAGTGGGACACCCTGTAGATTAGAATCAACATTTTCAAAATTGTCCTCTGCGTAACTGAATACATCCTTGCAATAAATTCAAATGTCTGTCTAAAGTTGAGAATTTGTATACTTTGAATTATACAAAATAATACTAATACTTAGAGGCAGTGCACACATGGATCAGTATTCGCCTTTTTTCATCTAATGAGCTTTTGAAGTACTTGAATAGAGATTAATTATGTCAATTTTCTTCTTTGTCTCTGATGTATTAATCCATATTTTCTGTTGAAACCACTGTAATATATATACTATATAGTACTTATTATTTGTAACCTGTTGTCTACCTATCATATATTATCCTAATCACTTGTTGCGGTCAGTTCATTAGACGAAATATAGACAATATAGACAAAAGTTTTAAAAATTTAGAAAGAAAAACAAAAATATCTCCAAAATTGTCTCGGAAATATTTAAAGGGCACTATTGTGCATTGGACATGTAACTTTTTAATTAGAGGGTCACTTAACATTACTTTGACAGTGTCTTTAAGATAAAGTATGTATCCTCCCCTAATTGATAATTGTTAAGGTCAAATCGTTCAATGTTCCAATTGTGATAGACGCAGATGGTTTGTGGCATCTTACAACCAATCCGGGGATTCTCAAGGTAACATCACTCTCAGGACCCATGGGGGGAGGTGACGATATTTTTTTCCATCCTTGGCATCGCCCTCTCATCCTATTTTTCTGTTTAAAAAGCGTAATAATACAATTTTGACTAACAACTTTTTTCTTTATCTATACGAAACCCTCTTAGCACTTGCCAAATATGAATTTAAAGTTAAATAAAAAAATTTTAAAGGCATGTCCGATACCCTTAAAAGTTTTGTTTGATCAAAAATGAGTTATTCATAAATTGATTATTTTTAATCATAGTTTCTCTATAAACGTCAATTGCGGATTTATGCTATAAAAACAGAAACAACGGAGGAAAATGTTAGCAACGAACATGCAGGAAAAACCTCGACATTTTGCTTATTATTACCTCAAAAGAGATTGAAAGAATACCGTTTATACCGTATATATTTGTATATTTTACATCATGACTTACACTGTCTCGTATATATTTGTGTTTTTACATCATGATTTACACTGTCTCGTATATATTTGTGTATTTTACATCATGATTTACACTGTCTTGTATATATTTGTGTATTTCAATCATGGTTTACACTGTCACGTATATTTGTGTATTTTACATCATGATTTACACTGTCTCGTATATAATTGTGTATTTTACATCATGATTTACACTGTCACGTATATTTGTGTATTTTACATCATGATTTACACTGTCTCGTATATATTTGTGTATTTTACATCATGATTTACACTGTCTTTCTGTTTAACCATGAATGGATCCTATAAACCCACTTAATTGTGTAAATTTTTGAGGTCATAGTGTACAAAGGCTAGACAAGATTACAAAAAAAAATAATCTATAGCTGTTTCACAAGAAGTTTCAACGAATTTAGTATAATCTAGATGTATAAATAGATTCTAATGACCATTAATTAGAGATTTTGGGGCGTCGTAAGCCCGCCCAATTATTTGGTTTGTCTGTGATGCGTGTATAAAATACCTATTTAAGACTTAGAAGCATCTCTTAAAAAAAATCTAAAGCGGCCGAGCCTTATTTGCCAATTGAATAAGAGGTTTATGGTGTTAACTCAATATTGCTCACCCACCCTGATACCCCTTGTGTGTGTGGGGGGGGGATTGCCAGAATGCGCTTTAAAAATGTTATATTTGTAAAACAGTTTTAAATGGTTTACGGATATACAATAATTTCCACCCTTTGGTGGTTATTTTTGATGGGGTCTCGGCCTTGATTTCCACGGAATGATGGTTGATCTTTTATTTATTTATTTATTTAAATGGAGGGAACTCATTTATTTAGTATCGTGGTTGTTAGTTGAAACCTTCACAGATTCAAATAAACTAGTTCTTGCCAAAAAAGATTTTTTTAATCCCTTTATCTCTGAAACCCGATTTTGTAGATCTTTGATATTTTAAACTACGAATTATGTTATATTAATGAGTCCAAGTTTGAAATTACTAACATCTAATGTTTACGACATCAGAGATTAGTAAAGTTGAGATTTTTGCATTTCCATCAATTTTCTACCATTACTGAACACCGGCTAAGTTGTCTTTGATCAATTCTAAATGTGAGAACATTTTGAAACACGGCAGGTGGTTTCTGGAATTTGTTTACTATTGATAGATTTCGAAAATCGTGTTTTTTAACTTTTAGTTAATGACTTGAAATTTCTTGAAGAAAAACTAGTTTTTAAGTTATTTTTGAAAACATAAACCCCTGATTTGAGGGTTTTTACTTCGTATTTTATTTTCGCATTCAAAATCTTAATATTAAGTAAGCATCTGGTTTCTTTTTTCTTACCATTACATTTTGTTTGTCAAGAAATTTCTGGTTTCTATATTATATTTTCTATTGAGTATGTTTGTAATATTGTTAAAATGTGGGTTTTATTGGTGTATAAGTGTATATTAGCATACGAGGATAAAAATAATATTTTATTATTGTATTATCGACAAACCAGTAAATAAACAGTCCACCCCCCCTCAACTTCCTATCTTTTCCACCTATTTGATTGCGCATTTTTTTTAACCTTTTTGATTTGTAAACTTTGAGGATTAAATTAAGTGAAAAAATTGTATTTATTTAATTTTGAGTTTTCTTTTTGTAAAAAAGCGGCCAGTTTTCAATTTGAGAATTTAAATGAAACCATTTTTCATTCATAATATTATTTCGGAATAAAATAGAATTAAGATAATGTATCATGCTCTAGCCTGAACATGAGGTAGAGAAAGTTATATTATCTAGGAACAGGGATTTAAATATTCAGGGGCTTAGTGGGTTGTTGTTATGGAAAAAGGGGGATTTGATTTTAAGGGCATTAAATAGCAATCTTTTTGCTTAGTTTTAAGTGACGTTTTTCATGTCGCCAGTTTTTCTTTAACACAAAATAAATTTATTTCTGTTTTACATTCACGAATATCTCCCAAATAAATCGTCCAGACAACATTTCAATTTCAACCGGTATTAATTTTTCCTTGGGTCATAAGCCAACACAAAAAAAATGGACTGATGAGTTTTGCAGCTTTGACGTAATAAGCTAAATGTCAGCTACTCCTGGATCTAATAAGCTAAACCTCAGCTACTCCTGGAGCTAATAAGCTAAACCTCAGCTACTCCTGGAGCTAATAAGCTAAACCTCAGCTACTCCTGGAGCTAATAAGCTAAACCTCAGCTTCTCCTGGAACTAATTAGCTAAACTTCAGCTTCTCCAGAATTTAATCAGCTACACAGCTACTCCAGGAGATAATTAGCTACACAGCTACTCCTGGAGCTAATCAGCTACACAGTAACTTCTGGAACCAACAAGCAACTCAACTAACAACTTCACAAATTGCTAGTTGTGAATAATGATCTATCATCCCAAGAACTTTTCCATAAATACTTACAAGGAGATATGTATCAGTCTCGACTACCTCTATGCTCGAGACTTGGGAAGGACTTCCGTAGAGGATTAAATCCCCCAAAGAGGATTATGAAATCCGTTAAAGAGTAGGTTTGGATCCTGGACCCAGAGAAGACCTACTCATCTTTTTCTCCATCAATACACTCGTTATTGTCATGTATTTGTACCTAGAAGCAATAAATGTACTTCTAAAATATGCTATTTATTAATCTCTGATTTAATATTTGTGTATCTGAAATGTTAACATTATAATGTTGAAGTACCTTGTTTTGTTAACGTTTATCCTGTACTGCATGGGTACAAGAAGGCTGTGTTTATATTTGTATTGTACTGCAGAGGTAAAAGAAGGCAGTTTTTTTATTCGTATTGTACTGCAGGGGTACAAAAAGGCAATTATTATATTTGTATTGTTTTGCAAGGGGTACAAAAAGGCAGTGTTTATATTTGTATTGTACTGCAGGGGTACAAGAAGGCAGTAATTATATTTGTTTTGTATTGCAGGGGTACAAGAATGCAGTGGTTATATTTGTATTGTACTGCATGGGTACAAGAAGGCAGTGGTTATATTTGCACTGCAAGGGGTACAAGAGTTTTTATATTTGTATTGAACCACAGGGGTACAAAAAGGCAGTGATTATATTTATATTGTACTGCAAGGGTACAAGAAGGCAGTGATTATGTTTTTATTGTACTGCAGGTGTACAAGAAGGCAGTGATTATATTTGTATTGTACTGCAAGGGTACAAGAAGGCAGTGATTATATTTGTATTGTACTGCAGGGGTACAAGAAGGCAGTGTTTATATTTGTATTGTACTGCAGAGGTACAAGAAGGCAATGTTTTTTATTTGTTTTGTACTGCAGGTGTACATGAAGGCAGTGATTATATTTGTATTGTACTGCAGGAGTACAGGAAGGCAATGTTTATATTTTTATTGTGCTTCAGTGGTACAGGAAGGCAGTGTTTATATTTGTATTGTACTGCAGGGGTACAAGGAAGCAGTGTTTATATTTGTATTGTACTGCAGGGGTGCAAGAAGGCAGTGATTATTTTTGTATTGTACTGCAGGGGTACAAGAAGGCAGTGATTATATTTGTATTGTACTGCAGGGGTACAAGAAGGCAGTGATTACACCGAATGCAATGGAGTTCTCCAGACTCGTTAAATCTATTCTCTGCAAGGTAAATTGATAAATTTTTATATATTTTTTTTCTTCAAATATTTGTTAATCATTTCTTTACAATATTATACAGTATTCATCGTATATATCAATAAAATGAAGATTTGGATTTATATTTTTTATTTCTACCAAGCTTTGTAGCAGCATGGAAAACATGGAAACAATCAACAGCTTCTCTTAGTTTAAAATAATAGTTGTTTAGAAATCAAAACTTGTATTGATATAAACGCCGAACACTGTAGTTTCCAATATATATTATATGTAGAGACAAAGGACAAAGTATTGTTATAAACCTCATTATTCGGAAAGTGCTTAGGATCTCCAGATCCGCTGAGTCATTAACATATCTCTGGATTAGGATTCACAAAATAATGGTAGAGAACTAATAGTAGTGATAGCAGGAGTGTATATTTTTAAGAATTTCCCCCCCCCCCATTTAGTTTCCCCAACTCAGTGAATAAAACCTCAAACTAATTTTTTACGCTCTGCATAAACATACCTGACTGGAACAAATGATTTCCAAATCATTTTTCAGGAATATGTACGGCGTACACCCCTAAGTATTATTAAGGAAAATATTCCCGGTTTCAATCTTTGAAAACGATAATTTCAGTCAATTTCTTTCCTTGTCTTTGCTGCACACATTTACCAGTACAATATAGTTTCAGTAGAAATAAATATTTCCATATACTTATTAGCCCCGATATAAAGTTTTATCTCATACTGCCATGCAATTTCTATTGGTTCAGAATAGACACCAACCACATGACTGAACCCTGATTGGATCAGGCGCTAATGGAATTGCATACAAGTGTGAGTAGCTTCTAGGGAACTCCTTACTCCAAAAATCTCAATTTTCAGATTTTTATTGTTGCTCATATATAGGTTTATAGATACCATTGTGAACCAGGCAAGTAAATTCTAGAAATTATATGTCTATAGTGTAAACAGTCATGATATTTATTAAAGATTCTCTTAAAAAGGAAAATAAATAATAAAACTAATAAACTCTTGTTTTTGTATTGAAGAATTACTTACTATTGCTACTTAAAACCAGTTTATTAATAAATAATACACTAATGAAGAATGATGAATATAAATCGTATATTAATTGTCAATATCTTTGATAATACATAATTATTTCAAATTAATAGTTGTTTTAACATGAATATTCAGAATTCTATTCGAAATGAAATATTTAAAATAATATATATATATATATATATATATAGCTAAACCAGAAGGTTAAAAGATATTTTGAAAAGACGACATCTAGTGCTCTATCTGTGTTGTTATTAATTTATGATTTTATTCCCAAAAAAAATCTTGATAAAATAATTTACCTTTAGTCAAACTATATTCGAATATGAAAGACTAAACATTTAAAACTATTCAGAAATGTTGATGTTGCGTAGGCCACACTGTTAATTACAACTTATTCTAGGATATACCTCCTAATGGACTACCTGACCCTAAGCTAGTGGCTGAATTATCAACTGCACTGGGTCATGTGACTGTAGTTCACAAAGGTATATTTTCATGTAGTGTTAATTTCAGCCCCAATCTTGAATAAAAAATTTAGAAAATTTAGAAAACAACTTTTCATCTTTTTATCTTTTTACAGTGCTACCCTCAAAGTATTTGAAACAAATAAACGATTCATTCATCTTTTGTTTAATAAAGGGTTAATATTCTCCACCTCAAATAATAAGTACAGGGTTACCCCTTTAATTCTCAAATATCAAATACAGGGTTAGTGGTTACCCCTTCTTTTCTCAAATATTAAATACAGGGTTAGTGGTTATCAAATACAGGGTTAGTGGCCGGTTACCCATTATTTTCTCAAATATTAAATACAGGGTTAGTGGTTACCCCTTCTTTTCTCAAATATTAAATACAGGGTTAGTGGTAACCCCTTTAATTCTCAAATATCAAATACAGGGTTAGTGGTTACCCCTTCTATTCTCAAATATTAAATACAGGGTTAGTGGTTACTCCTTCAATTCTCAAATATTAAATACAGTGTTAGTGGTTACCCCTTCAATTCTCAAATATTAAATACAGGGTTAGTGGTTACCCATTATTTTCTCAAATATTAAATACAGGGTTAGTGGTTACCCCTTCTATTCTCAACTCTTTAATACAGGGTTAGTTCTTCAACTTCAACTCTTAAAAGATAAAGGAAATATTCACTCAAGATAAAAGTTAATAAAAACATTGAGTAAACCAAGATCTCCGGAATTAGAAACACAGGTCTATATTACCTCTCTAAAAGGTATGCCTGAGATCAAGAAGCGTTGCCATCTGATAATCGAAAATTGTTGTATTATATTTATATTTTCAAACAGGTTAACAATCCCTTTAATATGTAGTAATTGGTGTAGTTCCTTTGTCATAAAAACGTTTATTACTCAATTTATTTCTGTTTTGAACAAAAATGTTAATTCAGGTGGGATAAAAAGTAGGGATACTGTCACATGGTTATACATATAATTAGATTAATCTAAACATTCCAGTAAATTAGCTCTATCTTGATTATTCCAGTAAGTTAGCCTAATTTTGATTATTCAGAGATGGAATTTAAATAATTTGAGCCGCGGTTTAATTTAAGCGCCGGCTTAAATCTTGAAACATTTGATACAATTTTAAGTGGAACCAACCATATTTAAACCGCAGCTTAAATTTAAACCGCAACTCAAATTCTTTAAATTCGGCCACTGGTCTATTAGTTTGACATATAGGATCGTACTATCATCAATATTCTATAGAATCAAGTTGATTTGAAATTTGTTTATCTAACTGTAATGGATATGCTCTGTATACTTTATAATATGTAAATAACTGTATGTATACTTAATACTGGTTTAAATACATGTATATTCTATACTGCGTATTAGGAATCCACGATATAATCTACAATGGTATGAATACTATATAATATACTGTATCAGTGTATAATGTATACTAGGAATCCACGATATAATCTACAATGGTATGAATACTATATAATATACTGTACCAGTGTATAATGTATACTAGGAATCCACGATATAATCTCCAATGGTAAGAATACTATACAATATACTGTATCAGTGTATAATGTATACTAGGAATCCACGATATAATCTACAATGGTATGAATACTATATAATATACTGTTTCAGTGCATAATGTATACTAGGAATCCACGATATAATCTCCAATGGTAAGAATACTATACAATATACTGTATCAGGGTATACTGTATACTAGGAATCCACGATATAATCTCCAATAGTATGAATACTATATAATATACTGTATCAGTGTATAATGTATACTAGTAATCCACGACATAATCTCCAATGGTCTGAATACTATATAATATAGTGAATCAGTGTATAATGTATACTAGGAACCCATGATATAATCTCCAATGTCAACAGTATAACCCTCAATACAAAACCGATAATGAAGAAAACTCTATATTTCCTGAAAAAATATATAAATAATAGCATATAAAATTGTTACAATGAATGTTTATAATGGAAAGATTCTTACGATCTATTTTGAGATATTGGAGGGTTAAATCGTCGGAGAGTCCTAAGACGTTTTTTTTAAACTTCTGAAAAGAATGACAATTAATTTTTAACGAAAGTCACTAATTCTTTATGTGAAAATATTCTTTGTTTAACTTTTGAAAATGGATGAATTCACAATGTTTTAAGTTATTTACACTCCGATGGGGAACAAAGGACTGGAGCCTAAAATTATTTTGTTTGGACTTAAGTGTTTCCGAGAGGGGTTCTAAGTTAAAGACTTTGCATACATGTATCATAGTTTATGGTTGACAACTGTAAAATATACTGTATACTGTATTGTTGTTAACCATTAACTTTAAGACCTCAACTTAAAATCTCCTCTCGGAGAAAGCCTAACCAAATTTTCAGCCCGCATTCTCTTTGTACTCCGTCCCACTGAGCTTAAAACATTTTCGTTTATTGTGAAATCATCAAAGTTAAGCAAGAATATTTTCATATGAAGCATTACTGAATTTCGTTAAATAATCAACTGTAATTTTTTTCAGAAGTTTAACAAAAAACGTATTTTGATACTGATCAACAATAAGTCTCCCCCTATCATACCTAAATAAATCGTAAGATTTTTTTTCTATTATTAATGTTCATTATAACATTGTACAAGTAACCATGACCTATAATTTATGTTATTTTTTAGGAAATAAAGCTTTTGTTATCGATTTTCTTGAGACGGGGTCACTCTGTTGTGTGTATTTGCGGCCGAACAGAAAGGAATTATCTGGACAGAATATATTTCCCTCACCGGAATTCCGAACGGCCTTTTAATCCAAGTTTATCTGGTGTGTTGCTGTTATCTGTCAACAATTGTGTATACTAGGAGCCCTTGATATAATCTCCAGTGGTCTATATACTATATAATTTACAGTATATTAGGAACCCATGATATAATCTCCCATGGTCAATACTCAATATACTATAAAATATACTGTATACTGTATACTAGGAGCCCTTGATATAATCTCCAGTGGTCTATATACTGTATAATATACTGTATACTGTATTGTGTATACTAGGTACCCATGATATAATCTCCAGTGGTCTATATACTGTATAATATACTGCATACTGTATTGTGTATACTAGGAGCCCTTGATATAATCACCAGTGGTCTATATACTATATAATTTACAGGATATTAGGAACTCATGATATAATCTCCAATGGCCTTGTATAATCACCAGTGGTCTATATACTATATAATTTACAGGATATTAGGAACTCATGATATAATCTCCAATGGCCTTGTACTATATACTGTATACTGTATACCAGGAGCCCATGATATAATCTCCAATGGTCTATATATTATATACTGTACAATATACTGTACACTGTATACTGGGAGCCCATGATATAATCTCCAATGGTCTATGTACTATATAATATACTGTAAACTGTATACTAGGAGCCCATGATATAATCTCCAATGGTCTATATACTGAGATCTGTGATACTGCTGGCTCTCCAAGAAGATGTGGTGGGCAGGTAATACATACAATGGATACCAAAATATAGGAGAACCTAAGACGACATAAACCATCTTAAAGTGTTTAACGTTTATTTAAAGATTAGTTTGTAAAGCTTGTTAACAATAATTTAGTTTGCAACCAAGTAAACAACCTTCATGTTTTCTACAATTTTGTTTATTTATTCAGAGATGTCGTCTTTGTGTTCATTTATTATTATGACCAGGCACAAATTATTAGGAAGAGGGAAGGGGGAGGAGGGTTCATGAATTTAAATTAAAGTTTTGCATGCTACACTATAGTATATTTTTCTTAATTCAGTCCCTTAAAATGTTTTTTAACTAGGCTCCTAGGGAGGGGGGGACAAAATTTGAACTGTAAATTCAAAGCATTTGGCTTCTTGGATACTTTAAAGGTACATATATAGTCCAATTACCTTTCAAGTACTACTTTATCTCTCATTCAAACAAAACTAGCAGATCAAAAAAACTGCCTCCCAACTACGAAAGGGGCCCAACAAAGTCGGTTTATCTGGTTTAGTATAGCTCTGAGTTCTAGGGGGGGGGGGTCTACGCCCCTCCCCCCTTCCTTTACAGGTTTTAGAGAGGGGCACTGCCCCCCTTTCCCCACCCCCTGTATAGGCCCTTGGAGAAAGAATCGACCGTATGAATATACATACATGCTTTGCGGACGGTACTCCATTTGAAAAAGAAATATGCTTATCCTTAACTTGTCTCAGCCTGAAATTTAAAAGAGTGTCGTTGAACAAAACTCTCGAGTTTCCTTTTTGGGGTGGTAACATTTGTGTAGATTTTGATTTCAGAGATTCGACAAAAAAAAATGAGAAAATAAAATAATATTTCATAACATAAATATTGTTATTCACAAAACTGCCTAACCCCATTCGTGAAATCCGGGTTTTAAAACTGGCTTTTAGAACGATACACTGTCCTAAGTTATGGGCTCAGATTTACAAATACCGCGTATATGTATTCAGAATAATTTATTGTATACATTACGCAGGGAAAAAAGTAGGCTGAATAACGCCAAACAAACATTTTTAGGAGATGCAAAAATATTGGAAATACAAACGTATTCTTTAATCATATGAAACATCGGTCTTACTTGATATGGTATAGTAAAACACGTTTAAAAAATTATAAGACTACCTTAAAAACTCTTTTTAAAATTGAATACCGTCTGCAAACATGTATAAATCATATTGTATGGCGGGCCGTGTCGATTCCGTGTCGATGTTACATGGGATGTTGTTCCACAGGGTGACCTACTGGCTGGTTCTCTAGCTACATTCCTTCACTGGTCCTTGGCGCACTCTGACCTACCAGCTCCTGGACCAACTATGATTGCTGCGTGGGGAGCATGCCGGTTAACTCGAGGCTGTGCTGCACAGGTAGATTGAGTACAAATCCATACAATACGCATACTAGTTCCAGTAGACTAGAACTAGAAATATAGAATGTAGCATACTAGTTCCAGTATACTAGAACTAGAAATGTATAATTCAGCATACTAGTTCCAGTAGACTAGAACTAGAAATGTAGAATGCAGCATACTTATAGTTCCAGTAGACTAGAACTAGAAATGTAGAATCAAGCATACTAGTTCCAGTATACTAGAACTAGAAATGTATAATTCAGCATACCAGTTCCAGTAGGCTGGAACTAGAGTAGATTAGAACTAGATATGTAGAATGCAGCATATTAAGACTAGAACTAGAAATGTAGAATCAAGCATTTTAGTTCCAGCGGACTAGAATTATAAATGTAGAATGTAGCATACTAGTTACAGTAGACTAGAACTAGAAATGTAGAATGTAGCATACTAGTGCCAGTAGACTAGAATTATAAATGTAGAATGTAGCATACTAGTTCCAGTAGACTATAACAAGAAATGTAGAATGTAGCATACTAGTTCCAGTAGACTAGAACTAGAAATGTAGACTAGAACTAGAAATGTAGTGTAGACTAGAACTAGAAATGTAGTGTAGACTAGAACTAGAAATGTAGTGTAGACTAGAACTAGAAATGTAGTGTAGACTAGAACTAGAAATGTAGTGTAGACTAGAACTAGAAATGTAGTGTAGACTAGAACTAGAAATGTAGTGTAGTCTAGAACTAGAAGTTGAATGCTGAAAGGAAAGATAGTTTTCCTATCCATGTAATCTTTGAATGCATGGATGTCAGAATTATAAAATATTGGCCTTAGCTTTAATTTTAATCAATTCTTGCATGCTTCAAGTGTACTTTCAATCTCTTCTCTCTAAACTACTAAACTTGAAAATTTCACTTTAAAAAGTTCAAGTTCACATAAAATCTTATTATAAATCAGTCGCAAATTTATTTAGTGATTTCATCGGAAACTATACATTTTAGTAAAATATTTACTATTTGGTATCTGGCATCACTAAATTAGGTGTTTTGGGATCAATAGGTTCTTTCATCAAGTTAAAGAAAGTTTTTGTCGAGACTGAATAAACCCTATCAGTGGTCTTGTTTAAACAAGAAAGCAAGGTGCCTACAAAGTACACATTTTTATAAACAGTCTGCCAGAGCATTCATTACAAGAAATAATCATTACTTCTTTATCAATGGTGAGAAGTGACTAAACGATTCGTCGAAGACAATAAATTTTTCTGAAGTTTTAAAGATTTTTAAAGACCATCCTTAAACTTATTGTTAAGTTTTTAAATTAAAAAATCCGAAATGTTTCCGAAACCTTTTTTCCAAAATGTTTCATAAATGGTGTAGGCCAATTTTTTTAAGTACAAGAGCAAGTTACCAACAGGGTAAACTCACAACTTAGATATTTTCTGAACGCGGCAAGCGCGCGTGACTCCTATAGGTAATTTGCCCATAATTCAAACCAAACTCTCGTTCAATTTTTCTTAAATATTACTGATGAGTGGTTAATAGTCATTAGGGAATATATATTTTGCGCATTTAGTTTGTTGAGACAACGTTTATGAATTACTGTTGTGATCTTGCCAGGCTACATTTGTTTCATAAAGCGTGCTGGGTCTATTTTACGATCTACGCTTGGTATCCAGACTGGACAGTACGACTGAATACATTTACATTATACAGTAAATGTTGTAACTGCTTATGCGTAAAAAAATCCCAATTATTGTTTATATTTGGGAAAATATACTCTTGCGAGTTAAATGTACTCCTGTATGCTGAGTCCTTTAGCACCTGATCCAATCATGGTTCAGTCATGTGTTTGCTATCTATTTTAAACCAATAGAAATAGTTTGGCGGTAACATCTATCTATCTCATTATCCAATTAGAGATATGAATCCTTCAATCGGCGATATCAGTAAATGGTATTATTTACTTCTTCTGAAACTTAAGTGGTTGGGATAGTATAAGTGGAAAATTTAGTTTTTAGAAAGATCAAATGTTTCATGATTTTTAACAATTTTTCAACGTTCATCTTTTATCTTTTTATCCAGGCATTTAATGAGTGCGGCAGATCAGCGACTACTACAGACCTCATTAATCAGATACATGCAGGGAATATATCAATAATAATATATTGTATATTTGTTATTAATATCATATATTTAATACATTTTATAATACATAATTCATGAAAGTACAATTTATTCTTTTAAATATCCAAAATAGTTCATCATTAATAAGAATATAGTACAATTCAGTATTATTAATGCATATAATGCAATTTATTATAAAGAATATCAAATGCTACAATTTCTTATTAAAAATATATGTACAAAAAAAAACACAATTAATGTAAGTTAATTCTTTTGTTTTTTATAGATACTTAATAGTTATTTTCCATAACTTGATATTTTTTATTTCTTTACTTTCATTATCATTATCATTATCATTATCATTATCATTATCATTATCATTATCATTATCATTATCATTATCATTATCATTATCATTATCATTATTATTGTTTGCCAGAGTTCACAAGATTGTATGAGAATGAAACCTACTTATAAAGGAAAAGACATCAGACACTAGACAAGAGACACCAGAAACTAGACAAGATATACCAGAAACTGAATCAAGGACACCATACACTTAGGAAAAAAAATTGCATTCTCTGGATGTCGTCTTACCTTGCGATGTTGAAACTATAAAAGATTCAAGCATATTCTGTTCTCCTGTAAATAATAAAATGAAAACCTAACTATTAAATCGATTGATCAATTGATTACTTTATTGATTGATTTGTTGATTAACTATACAGCATTTTCTCTTATCATGACGCCGTTTTACATTGTCTGACCAAAGTGTGCAACTTGGAAAGTTTTTATTGTTAAAGAAAATGAGCTTTGGCCACAAACTCAAATTGTTTACCTTCTATATCTTTGCAACCCTATATCGTGAATCTTTGTTTGTTTAAACTATGAATTCTGTCAGATCAAATAGTTTACACTGTAAGGTTGCAAAGATATAGGAAATCGAAAATTTCAATTTGTAGCAAAAACTCGGCTCCTTTCCCAATCTCTGTAGTGTAAGAAATATTGTATTACAATTCGGGGTTTTGGATTTTCTTAGTTTGGGACGAGTTTACAAATTTTGCAGAGGAAACAAACTTCGGGGAGGTTTTGATTTTCTTTGATAAAACTTCAAGCTGCCAATTTTCAGATCTGAGAATTAAAACAAAGAATTCCTCTTTCGAAATTTTTCTCAACCAATATTGAAAAGAAACCAGAATAATATTTCATAATATTTTTTTTTCAAATTAATCGATGAACTCATTAGTTATCAGTTTTGAAGCTGTGATTTTAGTTGATTTGTTACCAAGAATTTATACTAGATTGGTTATTGGTTATTTTACTCGAAATCAAGATTTATTTAAACGGTATAAATCTTCTGTGATTATATTTATAAAAACAGTTGTTTGTTTTTCCTCTTCAAATGTTCATACAGAAACATATAAAACGTTCAGATTAGAATCTTTTAAAAATCTAGCTTCATCAAAAATACTCCCTATAAAATATCTTTAGTACGGCAAATTTGATAAACTCTTTATTATTAAAAAAAAGCATAATTGTGTCTTCGAAAAAAAGAAAAAAAATTCTTGATTTTAAAAATAAATCACAATTTTAATTCGGCACGTCTAAAAAATATCCAAAAATTAGTTGTTCAGTAAAATCTTATATATAGGACCTTTCGCAGACTATCCCTTTAAAATGTGTTTGTTATTATGCTTATACTATCTACATTACACTTTTATTCATAATTAAAGCAGCTAAAGCGTTATGTACATTTGCTGTTCTGGGTTTGTTCAAGTCGAAATTATTTGTAACAACGATTTTGTGTTGGCATGTACTGTACATTCTACCTACGATATTGCTGTACATTGTACATTCTACCTACGATATTGCTGTACATTGTACATTCTACCTACGATATTGCTGTACATTTTACATTCTACCTACGATATTGCTGTACACTGTACATTCTACCTACGATATTGCTGTACATTCTACCTACGATATTGCTGTACACTGTACGGAGTACACATGAACTTGCCAAACGTTCATAAGTTATTTTAATGCATTCCAGTTTGCTGTGTTTTTGAAATTTTAGAATTATTAAAATTTAAATGCAGTTTAAAGATTTTAAATATTTTATTATCGTATAAATTATTGTTGAAAATATACATTTAAATCCTCAAAAAAAATGTTTATTTTTGTCTGTGTGATTTAAAGTTGTAGGAGCTGTGGAATGCATTTCTTGATGATATTTTAAAGTAAATTCGTCCTTAAAGTTTTAGTTTAATGTTTTATTATGATTATACAGAACATAAATCAATGAAACCTTTTTTAGCATGCTGCAGAGGGATGGGGTCTGAATTGGCATTTATTTAATTTATGAATTTCTACTGGTCTAAAGCATATATTTTTACGATGAAATCACAAATAATAATTTCAAATGATTCATTACCTACAGTCAAATCAAGGAGTATGGATAAGAAGGGAGGTAAAACTGACGTGGCCCGCCCTACTATATGATTATATATATACATGTCTTGCAGACGGTACTCCATTTGTACAAGAAATATTCAGAATAGGTTATTACATCAGACAAAAATTTCTTAATCAAATTAAGTATCGTCTGCTAAGCATGTATATACTATATATGGTAGGGCGGGCCGCGTCAGTTGTATCTCCCTTCTATTTCATACTCCTTGATTCAAACACGTACACAGAACACTTGGTCAAAGTTCATAATGCATTCTCTAAAAACGATACTTGCGGATTTTATGCAACAGAGACAAAGAAAATACTCGTCAGAATTCAACAGATTTTATGATTTGAAAACATCAATATGTTGACAGTAATAACCATAAAACTATGATTGGGAAGACGACTTTTAGAATCAAGTTTTAACTTTAAAAAGAGCATGAGACACAGCAGATCCATTTCACTAATTTAGTGACTTGATAAGTGTCTAGTAAAACTATTTTCTGGTTATTACTGTAATTATTCAGATTGAAAGGTTATCTTTGTATGCCACTGTTTGAATAGACCATCATTTGAAATTATGTTGACAGTCCCTTTTGTAATCTTCTTGGAACCCTAAGCATATTGAGAAGCTTATAACTTTTCACAATTTTGAGTTTTTCTGCAAGATTGCATTTTATTCTTAAAATAAAATTTTGCTTAGAGTATATATTTTAGAAAAATGTAACCCTCCCGTCCCCCTCTTTTAAAGGGTTTATTTTCTACAATTCCAGATTGTATGATTTAAGGTGGCCGAATTTTAAGACATTTAACAAATTTTAACTCTAAATGTAAGACAGAATTTGTTTAAGAGTGGTAGAAAAATGCGGGAATCTGACGGGGGGGAATTACCCAAATAAATCTGGACAGTTAAGTAAATGTAAATACTTAAAGAGTCTAAAGGCACAAATAAAAAGTTTTAAATTCGTTCTAAAACATGTTTCGAGAAACTTGTTACTCTCATTCAAGGTTGTAATGCAAGGAAAGTTAATTGCATTTGCGTATACTCTGCGTACAGTATTGAAACCAGTTCTCTCTGGGCGGAATTTGTAAAATCAAGAATAGATGCATCAGTGTTTGTCTAGTATCCGAGGAAGATAAAAGCACTTAATTTTGATAATTTTGAAAATTCACATAAAAGTTTCCTATGACCAGAATAGTTCATTGATTATTTTTGTGAAAATTGATGGCTGTGACATCCGTCTTGAGTTTACCTTTCCGCCCAAAGACAGTACACTGTAGTACAAAAAATACGCACACCTCTGAAATAACTTTCCTAGCATTAGTACCTTGCTGTAGGACCTATTGAGTACGTTAAGGCCACCATATTGATGTTTGCATGAACCTTGGAATGGGGTGAGAACTGCAGTAGAGTATTTGTTTATAAAAATTTAGTTCATATTCCTAATTTCAAGCTTCTCACAACAAACATTTGCTATAATTATTGACTCAAAGAAGTTCGTAGTAAGATTTCGATTCTACTGGAGACCACCGGAGGGATTTTATTTTCACTGGAGGGGTTTAAAAAAATGCNTAGATGGGCATCCTTCTCCGTTCAGTAGAGATGGGCATCCTTCTCCGTTCAGTATAGATGGGCATCCTTCACCCTTCAGCGAAGATGGGCATCCTTCTCCGTTCAGTATAGATGGGCATCCTTCTCCGTTCAGTATAGATGAGCATCCTTCACCCTTCAGTGGAGATGGGCATCCTTCTCCGTTCAGTATAGATGGGCATGGTTTATAGGTCTGCTGTTAAACATTTATGGTTTTTGAATTTAAGATGTTTTCTTTATAAATGTATGATTTAAAAGTTTGCTAAATTTACATGCATCACAAGAGAAAAGAATTGTCTTTTGATTTGTAAATTTATTATAGATTCTTGTTTCTAAATAACCAAAGTCTTTTTTTCTTTAATGGGAGTGACCGGCTATGTAGGGTAGTTGAACTGAGTATGCAGTGTTGTCGAAAACTTCTTTAGGATTCATTTGAGACATATTTCACTTTTTAAAGATCTGTAAATCCTGAGTTTGAGCGCAAATTTGACGTTCAAAACTCCTGATTGGTAGGTGGATACGCTTTCAGAATTAGTTTTTTCTTAAATTATTAAATAACGACAACGAAATATAAAATAAAAATTATACAGTAATCTAATTAGATGGCTAGGAACATATTTTACAAAAGAAATTTGTCAATAAATCAATGCTAAAATCGATTATTTCGTTTTCATTATTATATTGAATTTCTAATTTTCTTTGAATTTATTCGCAGATTTCTTCAAATTCTTTAAATTTCGCCTTTTCAATAATAATTATAGAAAATCTGCGAACATCTTTGTGAATAACGAGAAACTAGAATAATGAGATAATAGAAACTAATAATTGAACAAGATTACTTATTGTTGATGATAAGATTAATTTTTATTTTCTCAAAATGTTCCTAAACATGACGTCTGTAGTTTATTATAGAATATTTTTACATTTTATGTCGTCGTTAATTAATAATTTAAAAAAACTAATTCTGAAAGCGTATCCACCCCCAAATCAGGAGTTTTGAACATCAAATTTGCGCTCAAACTCAGGATTTACAGACTTTTAAAAAGTAAAATATGTCTCAAATGAATCCTAAAGAAGTTTTCCACAACACTGCGTCCTCAGTTCAACTACCTTACATAGCCGGTCACTCCCTTTACATAGGGTCGACATTTCTAAAAGATATTTACTTGTATATTTCAAATTAGTCTATGTAGTTATTTTCTTGCATTTTGTTAAAGAAACTGAACAATAAGTCTAATTGTCTAACCTCTATAGAGTCAATACCAGTACTGCAACCTGACGTTATATTAGGCATGAAAGATATTCAAACTAAAAAACTATAAAAGCTATAAAAGTTGCAAAGATACATTGATTTTAAAATTAGAGTTTGAGGCAAAAGCGTATTTTTTTCTTACTCTTGCAAACGGTATTTACCAAAGCCTTTTTCTAAAACAATTTAAGGAATTGTTATCATTTCTATTTTTTACCTTGTATTTTATTTTCCAGTAAAAAAGTTGCAAAGTGTAAAAAACGCAAATCTTAGAGCATTTGAAAATTTAAAGAAAAAAATCTAAAATCGATGCCCAACCCCAATGGGAGACGTTAAATCTTATTCTACTAAAAAGTTTGAAAAAGTAAAGGAAATTGGTGCCCTTCTTTAAACTGAATTTTACTAGCTTATCTAAATGAATTCAATCTAGATAAAACCGGTTTAATTTCCGGAACTCGGCAACACCAATTTCCCTCATTTATTTTAAACTCCAGCTAATACAGCAATTTAAACAAGGTTGAATACTCTTGATCCGCTCCAATGGACATAATTATGTCGTCTCTTAAGGTAGATAGATAAAAACCTAATATGACGTCACTGATTCTTAGGAGAGGAAATTTCCCATACATTGGAGGGGGGGGGGGGGGGGGGGGGGTAGAGACTCAGAATCCCTTTCTAAATCTACAGGAATTGAGTCTTTGTCGCAAAGTAAAATTTTCTAATACTTTTATCTTTGCAACCTGATAATGATTGTAAAAATAACGAACGAGGTACAAACTATCTAGCCAAAGAACAAGGAATTCAATTAAATTGAAACATGCCCAGACCTACCTGTGGTTTCACCAATCGAGTAAAGTTTACCAAAGTTAATTTGTAAAAAAGAAAATTAAAAAGGAATAGCTTCTCAGATTCGCTCAGAGCCTCCTATAAGTCAAAAGCCTCAATTTTTTATAATGTTTATAAAACGATACACATCCCTATTTTCTTGAAGGTAGACCTGATTATAAGAAATGATCTAGTGTTTTTGCGGCGCTTAACTTTTGAAAAGAAGAAATTTAACTTTATAGAGAAGAAATATTACAGGGAAAGGTTTATAGCAGATATTAATGGAAGATTATGTTTGCCGCATTGCATCCAGGCAATAGGTTAGTTCTCCCAGAGGAGCACTCACCACAGTTTATCTCAGGTTGTAACCCTTTTCCTGCTGGAGAGGGGGAGGGCAGGGGTCTCATTGAGCAGACCCAATGTGTATATTTGTATGAGGCTGTCAAAGTTTTTGACTTGCCTAGCAAATTTATTCCTCAGAAGAAGATAACAAATTTGGCGTTTACTGGCCGCTACTTTCTAAATTACTTAATTTACCTACTATAATACCTAGGGTTAACGGTTGGTAAAAACAACATTTATGGAAGAAGTTCCTTCATTAACGGCATTTTACATTCTTTCTATAAGTTTCTTTTCGTTAACGACCCTTTAGCGTTAGCGGCGTTTGTAGGGTTTCCACGAAACAGTAGATTCTCTCGCGCAACAGTTTCGTATTTTTGCACGAAATGCCTTTTTTGCAAGAAAGTTTCGAATCAATTTCGTATCAATACGAAACCAGTTTTGCACGAAATCGCGCATGAAAATACAATTTGAGTCATAGTTTTGGCATAATTTTGCGCATGAATACAAGGTCACAGTTTTTGCACGAAATTGGGCCCTATAATGCTCATGATAACGAAAAATTGGAATTTGCGTACAATGTAGTGCATGAATACGAAAATAAGGAAAAGATGTGAATTAGTTTCAGTATTTTATTCTTTAACAATTATTACATTATTATCATTTGTCATGATAAATATGTTTAGAGTAACGGTATAAAGGTGCCTTGGTGCTTCTCAGTCTTACTGATGTGCTTTGAATTAATCTATAGGTAGATATATACATTTCTCTTGTTTGTCTGTCTGCTTGTTTGGTTATCTCCGTCAGCTGGATAAAATTGTCTTAAATCTGTGTTCAAGAAACTCTGAGTGATAAATTCATTCATCTTCAACTAAAGTCAAAACTTGGATCTAAAACATCCTGTTTTTTGCTTCTCCTCCGATCTTACACTACTAGGATTTTAGGGCGCTTCGCGCCCATTTTCTATTTCAACTTTTAATTGTGGCTTTATCTCTGAACATCTTCTCTTTGTACAGTATAAAACAAAAACAAAAAAGTTTGCAGATTTCATAATAATTTTTCGCGCATTTCCAAAATATTACAAAAATAAAAACTTTTAAAGAAAATTTTTTAAATTTTGATCATTCTTTAACCTTCCCTGGGGTCACGTGAGGTCCCACACACAATTTGGGCCCGATTGGTTCTGCAGCCGTTTTAGCGTTTATTGATTAAAAAAAAAGACAGACAAGCTAAAATTATATATAGATGTATACATATACCATATCTTTATGTTGCTACTTGTTTTTATTTAATTATATTCTTTCTCCGTCTAGGCAATATACTGATAGAAGAACTCAATATGTTCTATTGTTATAATATACATGTATGTATATGAAATGGATATTTACCTATCACTTTTAAAATATATTATCTAGATACATGAAACATGACAGTTGGTGAATAGTTTTGAATGTCTTCTTCCGTATCAAGTATTATATATTAAAGACTTTTTGAGTTTATTTTGCTAAAAAATCTTTTTCTCAATTTTATTTAGCTTTGAAATCAACTTAAATACAATAATATACTACCAATTGCGACGTTTTTTTATTGTATTTGGTATTAAAGAACTGAACAAATTATGGAAGAAGATATTTAAAACTATTCACTAAATGTCATGTTTCCTGAGACACCCTGTACTTACTAGGCCGAGGGGGGGGGGAGAAAATAAACTCTAGCAGACATAATAATATTATGACTTTTGAAATTAGGTACAGGGTTTCCTAAAAAACATGGGAATTCAGTGACGAATGCGATATCGTCTTTGTTATGAATTAGCATTGTAATACCTAATTTCAACAGCCATAATAATATTATGTCTGTTAGAGTTTATTTTATGGAAAGGGTAAAAGACTGTAAAGATGTGTCTATAATGTCTCTGCAAGATGAACAGTGAAGACGGACAAGTTTACTCTGTCTATACTGCAATTTTCTTGTTTTACTAAGTACAACCGTATGCAGTCAAAACATAAACAAACAAAATGTGAACATAGCAGACGAAACTCTTACAGATTACAGCTTTCTCAGTAGGTATCACTACACTAAATCAAAGAATTATTTGAAAAGACTATATCGAATTCGTCACTGAATTCCCATGTTTATTGGGACACCCTGTATTTAGATACATATTACAATGATAATTCATAACAAAGACGATATCCAATTCGTCACTGAATTCCCATGTTTTTTGGGACACCCTGTATTTAGATAGTATTTTCAATGTATAGCTTAAAGTGATAATCACAATACAGCGGAATTTTTGGACAATTGAGAATAATTTGTGAGACATATTGAAGATGGTCTTGGATCTTCAACATGTTTTCATATTTTCTTCAACATATTTTCATATTTTCTTCAACATATTTTCATTTGCTTCAACACATATTTTCATATTTTCTTCAACATATTTTCATATTTTCTTCAACATATTTTCATATTTTCTTCAACATATTTTCATATTTTCTTCAACATATTTAACCTATATTTGCTTGTATAATTCTGCAAAAAATATTACCCTAGTCCTGCCATTTTAAGATGTGTTCTGTCTTTTAGTGCTTTATCTCAACCTAACATCATGAAAAATTTCGTGTACATTTCATTTTAAGTGTTAAAGATTTTAAAGACTTTTAGTTTAAAAGCTTATTAGATACATTTTTATATTTTAGATAGATATTTTGTCTGTTTTAAAACATGTTTATGTTCTCTTTTACAATCTATTGAGAAGATTTTTTCTATTTGCATAATAACAAAATCATGCCATGACTGAAGGAATAATAATTGATAGATGATTTGATACAGGGTGTCCCACGAAACATGATATTTAATAAATAAAGCTATTTTTAGTTAAAGAAATCTTTTGCTTAGTTATATTTTACTTCGAAATCAATTTTGATATAATATGACTCCCTAATAATATTTTTATTGATCTTTAAGGTAACACACAACTGAACGAAAAAGACATTCTAAACTATTCACCAACTGTCATGTTTAGTTGGACACCCTGTATATCATAAAACATGATTGTGCATACAGAAATTTTTCAAATTAGTTCAAATATTAAGAAAAATATTTATTGCAGACTGCAAATTGTCTAATACTTTAAAATTTAAAGAAAATGGCCTGTAAGTCTGTAAAAATAAGTGTCTTCTCTCTTTTTCCCCTTAATCCTATTTTTCCACTTCGTTTTCTTTATTATATTTAATCTCAGATACTGCCCCGGGCCCCCTCCCCCCCTTCTTAAAAACTACTCGATGATTAGTTCGGATTCCGTAAATCGGAGTAGGTCAGCTTCCATAGCACCAATATCCCTGCCGCGACTGTTTCTTTAAACTGCAATCAATTAATAATTAATTTTAATTTTAACAAAATGCATTAAAATTTCGATTATCTACAGTTAGACATGTTAACTTTATGTATTTTTTGAAATTTTTATATTTTTGATACTGAAATATTTACAGTTGCTTTTTATCTAATATCTTTCTTTAAATGAGAAAACATTTTTGGAATCGTCTTCCGTTGTAGGTAGAATTTTTCAATATCGTCTGCAAACATTGCAAAACAAATAGTGTTAGAAAATAAAGGGAACCGCTTAAAACAATCCGAAATTATAACTCGTCCGACTTTGGATTTTAATACATATATAATGAAATACTAAATGCTTGTTTTTTTTTCTGCTGCAAATTGTCATCATTCAAAGAATTATAGGTAAGGTTAATTTTATATAATATGTAAATTATATTTCGCTTTAAATTCCACAGGGATTTAAAAATATCCTTTAAACGAGTGTTTTTATTGAACCTTCAGAATTCAATGTGATTTAATTAAGTTAAAATCATAGGTGCTTAATGAGGAGCGGATTTGTAGTGTTTTAAAAACTGCCAAAAACCGATATTCTTTATTCACTTAAATACTAATATGGAAAAAATTATCATTAAAACACAGGTTGTTGTCGTAAATTTCAGGCCCGTAGCTAGAAATTTTTAATTGGATTGGGGTGGGGCAAAAATATTAGAAATCTGAGAGAAAGGTAAGAGGATGATAAACGTGCCGCAGGCGAAAAATTAGTTTGACTTGAAGAACTCAAAAAGGGTCAAAATTTAGTGCTATTGAGAAGCTATTTGTATCAAAACAAAACAAAACGGGTGTAGCGATTTGAGCTTAACTATAAACAAATGTATTAATGAAAATTTTTGAATTACAAATAGCCAATAATATTTTTTAATATGAGGGAAAGTAAAGGATGTTAATGCCTGTAAAAATCAAAAAAAGCTCAAGCATGAAAATCTTTGGTTTTCCCAAACTAAAATTTGAAAAAAACTCCCCTGCAAGCTTGAGGATGAGTATTAACAGCTACTCCTAAACCTGGCCATGTGTTTTATATCTATATTTCAATTTGTCTCCATGTTACTTTTTGACGGTTCATTAGAATCACTATTATATTAACAGAGGGGAAAGAATATAAGCTCTCAAAAAAACAAAAAACAAATTATTAATTTTATCATTATGCAAGCAGGATAGAAAAAAAAATTCCCAAATAATTTTTTTCACTAAGCACTCAATTTTTCCTTCTTTCTTTTATTTTTTGTTTCTTTCGTTTTATTCACTTTTTTGTCTCAGAAAGTGTGCCTCCCCCTTCAGGGGGTAGTACGTATCTCTGTGCCCCCCCCCTCCAGCTACGGGCCTGGTAAATTTCTAAAAACGACGCCTCTTTTTATGTAAAAATATGATACGTATAATAGCGATCTTTTAGTTGAAGTACCTCTAACTGAGCCCAAGTCACAAGCATATTCTTTAAATCTTTTTCTAAGTAGTACAGAAGGATATATCGTCGTTTTTCTATCTTACAAACTATACATCTGTCAATTTCCCGCTTTGTCCTTAAGTTACTCTCAATTGAATCCAAAAATGTTTAATTATTTCCAATTAGTAAAATAAAGTTTCTATAATTGATCAGACAAAGTGTGAATCGGACAGACCTCTTATAGTTAAATATAGGTGTGGAAATGGAGACATTGACACTTACTCTGAGAATGTTTGAAAATAATACATCACTGTCTTTCAGGTATTCTTCTACTTTTTATCTTTTTAAATTGACAATTAAACAATTTATAAGATGGAGGAACTAATCAATCTTTTGATATAGTTTTCCTAGTTTTAAATCATGAAGATGTAATCAGCTTAAAGAGGAATGAAAATCGTCTTTGATTTAGTTTGTTTATTACAAGGATGTAATGCAAGGAAAATTATTTCAGAAGTGTACACATCTTTTGTACTGCAGTGTACTGTCTCTGGGCGGTAATGTAAACACAAGACGGATGTCATAGCCTGACATGGGATCCATCTTTCACATAAAAAAATCAATGAAATATTCTGGTCATAGGAAACTATTATGTGAATTATCAAAATTATCAAAATGCAATGCTTTTAACCTCCTCGGATACTAATCGAACACTGATGCATCTATTCTTGTTTACAAATTCCGCCCAAGGAGAAACTGGTTTCAATGTGTACGCAGAGTATACACGACCACAATTAACTTTCCTTGCATTATACTCTTGGTTTATTAGGAACATTGCCAAGTATTTATGATATGTAACTGGTAAAACTCTGAAACTTGTCATTGAAGAAATATATTTTCAATAAATGTGGAACTAACATCTACTTTTTTACTCTACAGAGGTTTGGTCCATCACCATCACTGAATTTTAGAAATATCAGTAGTAACCACTAACCAGCTTTTAGGATCCGGATCCGTAATATTTTGGGTCCCTGGATCCAGATCCGCAAAAATATACGGATCCACAGATCCAAGGTACAAAATATCAACCAATAATTGCCGCAACAAACATTTTTTGCTCCGGATCCGCATCAAAATAAAATTGATCCTAAAAACTGGTACTTAAATGGTACTTAAAAGATCTCTAGCTCTAATTTTAAACTGAAGTTTCAACAAAAACAACCTTTATCCCGCTTTTTAATGATTAAGACTTTATAAGGGATTGCAAATATTATTTGAAATTATCCCTCAAACTTCAATATGAAGCTCAGAGTACGTAGCTTGATCTCAACTTTGACAAATCTTGGCCATTCTCTGCTCATTTCTTGTTGTTTGTCTTTTTTCAATTATTTGTATCAATTCGATTTTTTAAACTAGTATTGGCAAGTATGATCAGCTGTTCCCAGTGTTTGAAAACTACAGTAAGAGTTTAAACCTAAACATGAACGCCCTGTATTACAAGTAAGGATTGAAATTGGCTTTTTAACAATTATTTTTCTTTTCGTCAGATTAAAAACATAATCATCATAAAGCTTATCAATTCCCAAGTTTATTTTTTTCAAAATAATTCATGAGTTTATATTTTCTTATCGTTGTACTCTGCAGCGTAAATCCGCAATTTTACTTTTTAGAATGTCCAAATTTTGTTTCGAAAATCATCAAATTCTTAAAAATATTTACCCCTGAAAAAATTTCTCTGCAAATATTTACTATGTCAGTTAACAGTGAATACCATCAATACTGCATGGAAAAGTTATTAAATTGCACAATTCATATTTAAATTAATTCATTAACAAAAGTTTTTAACATTATCATCTTTGTAAAATATTTAGGTTTGATGGACAACTTATTTATCCCTACATGACTCCAAATCAGCTAGACATGGAAACAGGAGATATTATTGGTAACAAATTGGGATTTCCAAATGTGCTCAGCATTTTACAAAACTTTAAATTTACTTAATATGGTTAAAACTTACAATTTTAAGTTAGAAAATTATTATTTCTTTCAACCCACTCTTTAAATAAATGTCCTCCATATAAAGAAGAAAAATTTGCTACCGTTTATATCGTTTTCACGGAAAAAATATATTATTTTTCTTTTATATATCTTTGAGTAGTAACTGTATCTATATAGTAAATGTTTCTGAATAGATGTATCTATATAGTAAATGTTTCTGATTAGAAACTGTTCTGTTAAGTTGTATCCATTAGCAGAAACTATTTCTGTTTAGATGAATCTACAAGTAATAACTGTTACTGTTTAGATGTATCTTTAAGTAGCAACTTTTTCTGTTTAGATGTATCTATGAGTAGCAACTTTTTCTGTTTCGATGTATCTATGAGTAGTTCTTGTTTCTGTTTAGATGTATCTATGAGTATTAACTATGTCTGTTTAGATGTATCTATGAGTATTAACTACGTCTGTTTAGATGTGTCCATGAGTATTAACTATGTCTGTTTAGATGTATCTATGAGTATTAACTACGTCTGTTTAGATGTGTCCATGAGTATTAACTATGGCTGTTTAGAAGTGTCCATGAGTATTAACTATGTCTGTTCAGATGTATCTATGAGTATTAACTACGTCTGTTTAGATGTATCTATGAGCATTAACTATGTCTGTTTAGATGTACCTATGAGTATTAACTATGTCTGTTTAGATGTGTCTATGGGTATTAACTATGTCTGTTTAGATGTATCTATGAGTATAAACTATATCTGTTAAGATTTATCTATGAGTATTAACTATGTCTGTTTAGATGTATCTATGAGTATTAACTATGTCTGTTTAGATGTGTCTATGAGTATTAACTATGTCTGTTTAGATTTATCTATGAGTATTAACTATGTCTGTTTAGATGTATCTATGAGTATTAACTATGTCTGTTTAGATGTGTCTATGAGTATTAACTATGTCTGTTTAGATGTATCTATGAGTAAATCCTGTGGAACTGGTAAGCGGGATCGAAGTAGTTCGCCACCTGAATCTGGTTTAAAACGTTAAACTGATGCTGAATACAAATTCAAGCACAAGAGATTGAAATGTTTTGTTATGTAATTGTTTAGTAAAGGATTTACAGTCATTATTTTTTAAAAGATAAACATGTCTACAAATAAGTAAAATATATTATTTATATGTAGTTCATCTATAATATTAATGGAATTATATATTTTTACAGACAGTCAGAGGAAGTCAAGCGCCTGGCACCTTGTATAGATCTTTACTTTTATTATTTTCCTAAAATTTTTTTGCTTGTTCGAAGATTAATGATAATCGATTAGTTCAGATAAATTAAAAAATCCGCCTGAATCATGAAAATGGCAAATTTTGAATGTCTGAAAAGTTCATAATTCATTAAACGTTTAAAACTTCTAAATATAAAAATTTTAATGATCGGTAAAATCTGTTCAAAATCAAATAGACATAAAATTTAACGTGTATGAGATGGAATTAATAAGAAATATATGTAACTAGGATGGCTGGTACATTTGCCATAATATGTTTGCCATAGTAACTAAGCCACTATGAGAGTTGAATTTACAATTTACATCGAAGAATTACTAAACAAATTGCACAAATCTTCCTTTAAGCCTGTTGGAGACCAGACTTTTGAAGAAAATTCTTAGAACCATTATAATACCTACAGTATACATGTAAGTATCTGAAGTTTATAAAGAACAGTCAACAGAACGTAGACCACATTTTGTAAAACTCGTATTAAGTAGTTTTTTATCCATTTTCCATACAGAATAAATTCATACGCAATCGCCAACGACTTCAATTGCGACGATTTATTTTCATCTTTATTTGGATACCACTTTTTAAGATTTGGTATAAGAGGACTCAAGCAATCCTAAAGCCAAATCGTAAAATCATTTTCTAACATTAAATTTTAAAAAAATAGTTTATTATCAAAATTTCGTAATCTTGCAGGTTACAAGTTGTAGGTTTCTATTAACAGATTGAACGTAATAGGAGTATCAATGGAAATAATAGGAACCAAAATGCCATTGGTGGACGGAGTAGTTGATCTTGAAGATGCTATTCCCCAATCTGAAGATTAAATACCACGTGAAGATACAAAAAGATTTAAAATTAACGAAATTTAAATATCCATCCTTCCCCCTTTATTTCAATCCCACTACGTCAATCTCCTTTTCAATTCCCCCATTTCTCCACTAATCCCCACAATTTTTAACACCCCTTCAGTCTTCAATGCCCTTCCCTCTTAAAACCAGTCCGTAGAAGAAGATGAAACTCCACGAAAAAGGATTATAAAACCCGCAAATCAGTAGCGTCAGATTTGAAGAGATCATGTCGGGGTCACAACTTTAAAGATCTTCTCTGGTTCTAGAATAAGACACTACTGAATGGTGAACTTAATTTTGCTCTTCCGGGAATTTTCATCCTCCACTCCGTTTTTTAATGGCCATCAATGTACATTTACAGTAACCATTAGATGCAGCAAGTTTAAATGAATCATTTTCAGTTTTCACAGATATTTTCCTAGAGATTTTGTTAGTTTCAGCAATCCAGATTCAGTAGTTTCCACCTCAAGCCACCATTCAATATCTTCCGGCAAATCCCTCCAAAAAAAAATTTTGTCATGGCGAGGATAATGATTTATTTTAAATTACTTGGAAAATCATTTAAGAATTTAGCAGCGTAATTCAGGAAAACTTTTTAAAATGTGTTTTTAGATGTAATATTTCTGTAATTTTTTGGTCCAAATTCACAATATTCATCATGAGATGGAATAAAAAGAATTTGAGCCACGGTTTAAATCTGCCAAAACCCGGTTTAAATTCAGCGCCGCCTTAAATCTTGAAAAATTTAATACAAATTTAAGTGGAACCAACCATATTTGAGCCGCGGCTTACATTTAAACCATGGCTTAAATTCTTTAAACTCGGCCTCTGGTTGACTTCTTCTAACGGACAATTTTCATCAAATATTTTATTTCTATGTAATCAGCCTTCTCCCAGAGGTTGTATAGCTCTGTTGTCACAGTACAGGAAGGAGGACACTTTGGATGCTTAAACTTTTCAATAGAAAGCAGACACCTTTTACATGATCCCAAATGCATTAGATGAGAATAAAATGTGGACACTGAACAAGGCAACAGTCTTTAAGTATTAAAAGGGAAAAAGCTTAATGAAGAGTTCCTCTTGGCCAATTTCCATGTCATTCTTGAATATTTTTTTCAGCAAAAAAAAACAATGTTTAGAATTGTTAATTTTGATAATAACCAGCTAATATTTTACTCACTTTAAACTACTTTGCACAACTTGGCTCAATCTTTGCAAGCAACTGAGAAAACTGAGTTCAAGTTTAATCCAGAATTCATCCTCCATGGACACAGATGTGAGAATACTCTGTAAATCTAGATAATCAAGGGTTAAATCTTTGGAAAATTATAGAATTTGTGAAGATGGCAGGTTTTGTTCCCCTTATTTTTTAACTTTTTATTTTGACTTCCATCACAAAAGTGCTGACAGGTAGCGTTGTTTACGAGTGAAATATATATTATATATTACAACCCTTGCTTAAAAGGGGGAAAAAAGAATGAAGTAACATCTTCCAAATATATTTTTACCCCTTAATATCTCAACAATTGATGGACATAAATACTGAATAGATCATTCAAGGACAAACAAATGAACTTCAAAAACACCATCAATATAAGACAATATAAAAATATTTCTCAAATAAATAAATATGTACAATGATAATCAGAAAAAGATCTACTAGACACTAATTAAAGCACTAATTTAGGGAAATGGGTGTCTGTTTTTACTGCAAATTTGTTCTGTCTTATGTGCATTGATTGGACTTTGGTCATAACTTAAGTCTTCCTTTTCCAGAGTTTTGTGGTTATCACTGTACCATAAAACTGTAGAGAAGAGAAATGACTGATAAAATCAAGTTTAGGTGTAAAATATTTCACGTATATTGTATATTGTTTAAGCATAATTACCAATTTCCACGACATATTTCTCTTGAAGAATTCCTCCAGAAAAGAGCACAATATAGATACTACGATAGAAGATAAATATCAGGCTGATAAAATGGACGATACTAAATACTGAATACTGAATACTAGTTTGTTTGGAATTTAGAAAAAAATACAAGTTTCAAAAGAAAATTGAAGAATTTTTTTATCTTAAGGATGTGTATGTATTTAAAACTTAATATACTTTATAAAGAAAGATTTTTTTTTGATGGCAGCTCGTTCAATTTCTCTACAGAATAATTTTCCTGGCTTTTATTTTTATTATTATCATAGGTACTGGTAGTTGTTATTATTTTTTTATCGCCCACACACATAAAAAGGAGGGTACAATGGTGAGTTATTAGTGAAAACATTGAAAGGAATACAAGTAAGCAAGTATATTTTCTGTTTAATTTTCTGTGGTTTGAATCCATTAGACGTCAAAAGGGCCAAAAAAAATCGGACCCTAATTTTGAGTAGGGCCTTACATAACCCTGGGAAAGTTATGACCAGTTTAAATTTTCAATTCGGACATTTGGATTTGGATTTGGAAATGCATTTATGAAACAGGGAAATTGGAAATGCATTTATGAAAAGGAAAAGATTTGGAAATGCATTTATGAAACAGGAAAAGATTTGGGAATGCATTTATGAAACAGGAAAAGATTTGGAAATGTATTTATGAAACAGGAAAAGTTTTCGAAATGCATTTATGAAACAGGTAAACATTTGGAAATGCATTCATGAAACAGGTAAAGATTTTGAAATGCATTTATGAAACAGGAAAAGGTTTGGAAATGCATTTATGACACAGGAAAAGATTTGGAAATGTATTTATGAAACAGGAAAAGTTTTCAAAATGCATTTATGAAACAGGTAAAGATTTAGAAATGCATTCATGAAACAGGTAAAGATTTGGAAATGCATTTATGAAACAGGGAAAGATTTGGAAATGCATTTATGAAACAGGAAAATCTGCGGAAATGCATTTATAAAACAAGAAAATCAGCGGAATGTAAAACTGGTTGGCGCTATAGCCATCATAAAGTAGTAAAAACATAAAAAGTAATATATATTTTCATTGTTAAATAATCTCACCAGGTAATGTGAGGACCAGGGCTCTTAATATATTCAAGAAGACTAGTTAATGTTCTCTCAATATACTCATTCACCTTAACATTCGGTTTTATTATTTTTGAATGTGTGGGGGGGGGGGAGATAAAAAATCAAATCCCAATCCCCCACCCCTACTTTTGAATACTTTTTACCATAAATCGTTATTTCCGATAATAAAGGGAAAAAACCATCAAAATTGTTTTCCACTCCCCGCAAACATTCCTCATTTACAGGAGAATATAAGATTATTTACACAAAATATATCTCCCTATTTGATGAAATTTTAAAAACAACTATGAGAATAAAAGCTTACCCAGGGATGCTCTGACATCATGACAGGGGTTCGGTATTTTTTCTTTTTTACGAATATACTGGTTGGGTAGATTTCGCGTAGGTAAACAACCTTTAATTCATTCATGTAAAAATAAAATTGATTTACGCAGAAAAAAAGTGACGTCATTTTTAAAAAATCAAAATATAACATTTTTTTTTAAATGAATCCCTGATGGACAAAAATCTCAAGGAACTCCAAGAATACTTCAAGATAAGTTTCCTTAGTTCTTTCCGTCATTTTTCTTTTTCTTCTCCTTCTTAACGCGAACCTTTTTCTTTGGTTCAGCTAACAAATAAAAAATGTTACTTCAGTGATTATTGAATCAAATAAGAAAAATTGTCTCTTTACTTGGGAAATTCCGTTAAATCAGTCAGAAATTTTGTATTGTGAATTTCGGAATTAAACATTAATCCTCAAATTTATAAGTGTCCACATTGAATATCGAGATCAAGTGTTCAAGATTAACAAAAACTTCCATCTTAGAACATCTTAATATCTCTAAAACCGTTTGAGTGTTTACCTAGAAGGAAGGATTTTCTTGTATAGCATATACGGCAGGTGAGTCCAATCTTCTTCTGAGATCTATGTTTCCCAAAAATATTTGCATCCGCAGTCCGTCCTGCCTTTAACAACCCGTTACAACCCTAGCAGTGAAAAAGATAAAATTCAATGAAAAATTTATTTAAAATGCGGCAAGATGTGGAGTTTAGGTGAAAAATAGAATATTAAAAATTCAAAAAAATGGTGCTAAGGATGCGGAACATTTTGGCTTCATGGATCCGGATCCGCAAAAATATGCGGATCCAGGGGTCCGGATCCAAGGGGGATATATCAACCTAAACTGGTAACTTTTTTCTCTCTTAACACAAATCTCAACTATTGCAAAGTAAGATATTATTAAAAATGTTCTTATCTCCTAATGGATCATTAAATTTAACATATAAATAAGTGAAAAAAGAAAGGTGAAAATTCTACATTTGTTAAAAAAATCAATAAATCTTTAAAAAATGTTCATGGGCTGGATCCGGATTCATTTATTCAGAGCGGAACCAGTATCCGGATCCACATCAGAATAAAATGGATCCTAAGCACTAAAAATAACTACTAACCTTACAAATCTTCCGCTTGATATCTCTATGTATTTTTACTTGAGATTTTTGACTAATTTGTTTCAGTTGACCACAAAGCCCAGCTGCAAGAATAGGACAGCTAACAGATACCAGTTCTGCTGCCTAGATAGTTTATGTTTAGCAGCTAGAAGATACCAGATCAGCTGCCTAGATAGTTAATGTTTACCAGATACAAGATACCTGCCTAGATATGAAAGTCAAGGGGGGATAATCTTTCTTAATTTAATCATTATCAATTTAATTGATTTTTAATTGGTTTAATTGGTGAATTTATGTTATTGTATCACTGGTGTGATAATTAAAACATCTCATTTTTTTCTTTAGGTTTATTTTTAGACTTTTAACCACATCTTCATTATCTTAAACAAAGTGATAAAGTCGTATTCTCACAAAGCCTATTGTTAAACTATCTGTTAGATTAAGAGCTGGTTTTTAGAATTAATGAATGCCCAACATGACATTTAAGGTAACATTAGCAAATTAACAGTTTAATAAATTTGAGGCCAATAATATAAATGTAATTTCAGAACGTATGCAATCCAAAAAAACGAGAAAATGTCCCAATATTTTAGCCTCGCACCAATAAAAATTGGCGTTAAAATCGGCTTAATATCTCAAAAGAACTTTTGATTATATCATACCAGATTAAGGACACGAAAACGGCCAAAATCTTAGAAGGCAGTATCACAAAACCTATGAAGTGGTTTTATGAGTCTGAAATTTCGGAATTAACGTATTCTCTTAACATGCTGTGTGCCAAATTTACAAAAATCCATGACATTGTAAGGATAAAGGTATGAGGGACTGAACTCATAAAATTTATATTTTATACCTTGTGAAGAAAATTCATACGAATCAGACTTTCTGGCGGCTTCCGGATCCCTGATACTTTTCCCATAGATAAACAGAGAGCTCTGAAAATAATAAAAATAGAAATACCACAGATTCATACAAATGAAAATCGTGAAAAAGCCCAAAATTTATATTTGAAAAAAATTGTTATAAAAAGGGCAGGGAATAGTTAAATAATGTGATGGTAATGTACCAGTTACATTAACCATCCAAGTTTTATCAAGATTTTCCACTGTCAGTCAGTTTCAACTTGAGAAAAGTAATTCCCTTGGCATTTGTATAGACGGGTAAGATAATTAGATGAAGTTTAACTAAAAATATATATATAAATATATATAGTTGATCCTGAACCCTCATTTAATTGATCACTATATTATAAACTCTGATGTAGAACTATATACAGGGGCGGAGATTCCTTGGATCAAATCAGCTGAAGGCTCTTCGAACAGATGCAGGCTAAGATCATTGAAGATATCAGGGAACTAGATTACAACATTCATTTAACTAATAATGTTGATAAAAATGGTTGTGTATGAATTAAAATAATAAATAAATAGAATTTTAACAAACTCTAAATGCACACAAATCAATTATATCAAACTAAAATTTAGTTTGAAAACAAAAATTAACTGTAAAGGACCACAAAAAGAAACCGAAACTATTTCAACTTAATTTGAAACGAAAATTCGAGAATTTAAGATCTACAAAAAATGAGTATTTTTCTACTATGAAAATCCAGAATATCTTTGAGAAAATGGACACACAAGAAAAACGCCATTTTTAGGTTTAAACCTTTTCTGAAACCTGATATTATCATAATCCAAATAACCGAACAATCAATCCCACAAAATCCCCCCCCCCCCTTAATGCATGTTGTTTTCCTTGAAGTTGTTTTCTATTGAAGTTTCTTTGACGAGACCAGCAGCAGACACTAACTAAAATAAACAAAAATTATAAAAATCAAATAAAATATTTATGAAAATGCCTGACCTGTAGGATTTTGGCCGATGTTTCAATTTCCCTGGCTGGGGTTCTTAAATATTAAGAAAATTAATAACTTTTGGACTAAAATAAGACTATAAAGATTTTAATAACTATTTATAACACTATTATATTGGTTTGCAGTGTTATAAAGTTTTGGACAGAAATTTTCTCTTTATCGAGATGGTTCTTGCTTTTTTAAATTATACTTTGTCCCAAGTTTAATTTTAAAAGGTGAGAACCTTCAAGATACAGAGAAAATTTCTGTCAAAAAACGTTAAAGCACGTAGTGCCAAAATAATAGTGATAGAGGTAATTGTATGAAACGTTTGTGTACTTGTCTTGTTGCAATGGCTATTTCTAGATAAAATAAGCTTTTAAACAAAGCAGAAATAAAAATATATAGTTAATTCTTATTTTATTTTCATTTAAATTTAAAAAACTATTTTGGACATATCCTATTTTTTTGAAGAAAATCCGTGAACTCAAATTAAAACTCTTTTAAGAACGATGCTATAATGTAGAACTCATTTAACGTTATAGCAGAATGATTATTTTAAAGCACGATGCTACAATAAACAGCTAATTAACATCATAGAACGATGATTATTTGTAGCACGTTCTAATAAAATTCACTAAAGCTCAGAAAAAAATCTAAAAGAGAAAGTTTCTGTCCAAAAACTTTTTAACACTGCAAAACAAAAAAAATAGTCAATAAATAGTTATTTCTCAATTTTTGCAGCTATGGAAATTGGAAAGGTCTAGAGGTTTATTAAAACTTGATTGGAAATCTGGAGATTCTTAACTGATCTGAATACAGGATATATATTTAGATTTCTTGATTATTTTAGTGAAACCTTTACAATACAGGTTCAGGTGAGCTAGGAATACCTATAGTCATCCAGCATTCCGTGTTAATTAAATTCAAGTTAAAAATAATCGTAAAAAATTGGAAGTTATTTTAATATAAATTTACCTGAGTAAAATGCTGGATATTGAATTTGAAATTAGAATTACATTTGAGATAGTTGAGGAGGAAGATAATTTTGAGGAAGAAGTTGATAAAAATGATTCAGTTGGTTTTGATGAAGATTTTGAAGCGAGTTTAGTTGAGGTTTCTGCTGAAGGTAAGGTTGATGATGGCGTTGATTTTGATGATGATGATGTAGATAATGAAGTTGATGTTGATGTTGATGATGATGATGAAGTTGATGACGATGTTGATGAAGCTGATTTAAGGTTTGTGTAGAGCAGATTATTAGTTAGCTCCCGAGGACAATGAGGTAGAAAGACTAAACTTCTTTTTATCAATTAAGAAAAAATCACTCTTAAACCGCAATTGAAAATTACGAATTTTCAGAAAGAAAAACAATGATAAGGAGGTTCAAGCACACTACTACATTAGTATAATTTTGCCATACCATAACATATTGCAAACTAATGTTTAATAACAAAAGTTCGATAATTTTAAAATTAAAAGTTTTAAGAAAATGCATTTTCAAATTGATTACATCCTGTTTAACTTCTAATTAAAATATAAGTACTTTATTTTTTCAGTTAAATAGATTTGAAGTTTTCCTAAAGATTTTTCACGAATATGAATATTGCAATGATTATTGACAGTAGCAACAGTAAATCCTGAAAACAAGAGTTTTTCCCTCATAATATTATTATTTCAAGGGTTTATCATTTTCTGTACTTCTGATTGGCAGAAAAATTAAAGAATGCTTATATTTGTTATGCATTCATCAAACGATTATCAACTCTAGCAGAGACGTATACATGGGAAGGGGGGGGGGGATCGGGGTTTTTCTTGAAGGTGATGTTGTATTTCTACCCATAGACAATTGATTAAATGGCTATGATTTATTTTTCCCAATGCGGATTAAAAAAGGACGATTTCTCTGTCATTGTTTATCAGATATAGCGTTTTAAAGTAAAAGCGAGTCGGAAACAATGATCAAAGGTCCCTTAGGATACCATTAACGGTTCCATGAGGGGGCCCCATAGCCCGAAACCTCTGAATACGCCACTATTTGTGGTCAAATTACCTAGTTCTTTACTCGAGAAGACTGGATCGTAGACCTCCAGTCTACCCGCAGAAAGTCTACCAAATTGAAAATTAAAAAATTATTAGATATAATCTTATTCTTTCTTTTCTCAGAAGAATTCCCAAACGTTTCTACAAATATACAATGAATACAAAGCTTATTCAAGCTAGGTAAACAGAACTAATGGACTATCCGATCTAAAAATAAGGACAAATTATCAGGGTTGGAAAATAAGTTTTTTAAAAAAAACCCAGCCCAGTAAGCTTTATTAGTTTTTTTTTGTGTGGACTTTTTAAGGTTTTTTTCAATTTGAAGAAAACATAACTCCTGTTAAGGTATTCTTATTAATCGAATTTGGCAAAACCCTAAAAATAAGATCAATCTTGAAAAAAATAGTACCTTAATGATTCGTTTATTATCAAAACAAAGGCCGTCTGATATCTTGCAATTGAAGAACTAAAAATATGCAATTTTGAAAAAATCATCCGAAATTATTTTTTTTTATTTCACACCTTAACTGCCCCAGACCGAAACAATAAATGAATTTGATTTCTTCCAAGATGTCTAAATTATTCAAGAATTTCCGCATAAACTCGGATTGATGAAGTTCTTCTTTAGCTTTTTGTATTCTCTCAATAGTGTCATTCACATCAATATCCACGGACTCTAAAACATTGCGGATTTTTGTGTTCACATTTCTTCGGGATTTTTTCCCGGGTTTCACAAACGTGAATCCATCATCAAAATTCATTTTTTTTCTGAAAAAGTAAGAAAATCCGGTTCTTGAGTATTAATAGTGTTTCTGTTGAAAAGACAAATTCGACGAAAAAAAAACACAATAACATTAAACATAAGGTAATTTTTGTTGCTAACAAAATCTTATTTTATAAAAAGAATTTCTCCCTTGTCAGTTATTATAATGATAATAAAAATAATAACAATAATTTATAAAGTTGACCTACTATATTCTAAATTTAAATGCCATACGTACTACAATACTAATACTGAATGTACAACTAATCAAACGTTTTGTACATAGTTCTAACGACAGCATAACAAATATTTAACAATAGTCAAATAGATATATAAATAAAAATACATAAATAACATGAAGCACCCAAGAATGGCAGAAAGGCAGGAACCTGGAAGACTGAATTCTTAGATTACTGGTTCAGGGTTCAGAGCATAACCTTAAAAAGTATTTTTTATTTAGTTAATCACCAGTCACCATGAAGCCGCTAATGCATTCAGTCTCTTTAATTTGAATTTAATAGCTCATCAATCTTTAAATTTAAAAATTTGTCTTTTTTTACTTTTCATTTCCAACGCATCCTCCGACACCAAAGTATAAAAGAGAAAAAGAGAAGAATATTTGCTTGTTAGGTCAAATTGTGAGCGAAAAAACTGCATGCAATCACCATGAAACTTAAGAATGTTGTATTCTTAGTTTCTCGGTATCAAAATAAAAATATTAACACTGAAGCAGATAGAAAAAAAGAGATATGTCTAAAAATATATTCTTTATCACTATGTTACGAACAGTTTTAATTTGCTAAAATGGAAAAAACAACTGAACTTTCTGGTTGGATGAAGAGAGGGGGGGTATCCGAACCCAGTACACATACCTAGCTCTTATTACCCCCTGGGGCTGGAGCTTTCATCCAGGGCTCAATTGTCTCCTCTGGGGCTTCTTCTTCAGCTTTAACTGCTTCAGCAGTAGTCCTAATCAGCGTATATATTAAACAGACTGTGGAACAAATTCAGGGGTGTATATTTTTCTGAATTAACCCCCCCCCATTCTTATTGATACTTTATTTTCTTGAAAAATCATTTATTTCCCTGAAAAATCATTTAAATTCCCTGATAAATCATTTTCCCTAAAACAATCATTTATTTTCTCAGAAAAATTATTTATTTTTCTGAAAAATCATTTATTTTACCTGAAAAGTTATGTTTATTTAAACTTTATTTATTTCACATTTATTTTCTTCTGGAGTCAATAAATCTTTCTTTTCTTTATTCTTATTGCTCACAATTTCTCATTGCGTTTACCTGATGAGACCAAGTTCATTTCTCGTTTACCTGATGAGACCAAGTTCATGAGCTTTTTTCAAGGATTTTTCACAAATGGTTTTGATCTTCTGCAGGGTGGAATGAGGCTGAGCATTTCCAAGATCAAGGTTGGCCTAAATACAGTTGTAAACACTACGTTTTTTTTTTTAAAAATAATATTTGTTCTGATGTTTTCTTAAAGTTGAATATTTTAGTTGATCCTTCATAGATAGTGACACGCCAGACTAACAAGGGCACCTCTTTATCAGATCAAGTTTAAATTAGATATCCAAGTTTTTATTTTTGAAAACTATTTTTTCTCTGAAAAAATTAACTTGTACAATTCTTACTTCAGAAGCAAAAGAGCATATCAGAAAAAACACGCATTATTGATCAACGTAAGGGTACCGATGTGAATTGGGCATATTCCCTTTAAATTGATGGTCACTTAGAAATACGAGAACAGTCTCTTTAAATTTGTATTTCACCTTGAGCACAAGAGCTTGAAGAACATCCATAATCTGAGTTTCGAAAATATTATTGGCAACCGTTCCTCCAACCTGAAAATATTTTGATTAAGATTCAAATAAAATTTGAAGAAAAGGAAGAACAGTGGAAAATCATGATAACTCCTCCCCCCCCCCTTAAACGTTTTTCCTTACCTGTTATTGATTCTCCGTTTACTTCAACTATTTTTTACTCTTTTGTGTTTTCTAGATTATGAGTTTATAATTCAGTGCCTGGGATCCATTTGATTTGGATTCGGTCCCGGATCCGTATCATGGATCCGCTCTAGAATAAAAGGATCTGGATCCAGGTCATGAACATTTCTTTAAGATTTACTGAATTTTTGAACAGAAGAAAAATTTCAATTTTTTACTCTTTTTTTGGCATACTTGTATACTACGACTTACGACTTGATAAACCTTATAGAGATAAGATTTTTTTTAATAATCTCGGTTTTTTAACAGCTAAGAATAGGGGTTAGAGAGCAAAAGATTTTGAAACCAGTTCTTTGTCAATATTTTGACCCTTGGATCCGGATATCCGGATCCAGGAGGCCAAAATGTTGCAGATCCAACGAATTCGGATCCGGATCCTAACCACTGAATTTTATATTCGTGAATACCTGAACCATATTGTTGATGATTACAACACCGCGCAGTGTGACGTCATAATCTTCATTCGCCAGTACACTAAATATCATGAGAAGACTTGAGGATTGAATCTCTATATAAAAATAAAGTAGTAATCTCAGTTTGTTTGTTTCTATGTCCGATCATAACTCTGGATAACCTTCACTGATTTGCCATACATTTTTATTGTGTAACTCCGTAGAACCAAAGAAATATTTTTACTTTGATTTAAAATTTTTAAATTGAGTGGGTTGACATTTAGAGAAAAGCTTAGTTTCCGGGCAAAGCTGAGTTCTCGAACTGGTTATTTCTAAATATTATGAGATAATTTTCAACAGTGGATGACAAGAATCATTTTATGACAAAGCGAAACTTATCAACCAGTTGAAATTATGCTTGAAAGGGACTATACACGTACTTTCAAGCAAGGTACTAATGCAAGGAAAAATAATTGCAGTCGCGAATACTCTGCGTACTATTGAAACCAGTTCTCTCTGGGCGGAATTTGTAAACAAGAATAGATGCATCAGTGTTCGTCTAGTATCCGAGGAAGATAAAAGCATTGAATTTTGATAGTTTTGAAAATTCACATAATAGTTTCCTATGGCCAGAATATTTCATAGATTATTTTTGTGAAAATTGATTCCATGTCAGGTGTGACATCTGTCTTGCGTTTACTTTTCCGCCCAAAGTGCAAAAACGCGTACACCTCTAAAATAACTTTCCTTGCATTAGTACCTTGCTTTCAAGGGACTCCCCGATTAAAAAGTTGTATGCCAGATTCACAACTGTATTCTACACACCTCTTTCTGGGCAATAATGAGGGAATTAATAAATCACGTGTTATTATCATCTGCCATTTTAATTCAATTCGGATTTATAAATCCGCCAGTCAGTTTAATGTAGACACCACATATGAAAATGTTTGCTTATACAAATGCAAGTACCTTTCAACAAGTAATTGAATCACCCTTATCTGGCTGAACCACTTTTATTTTGAAATTTCCATCTTGGAAGATATTTTTGTATACAGTTCATGAGCGATATAACTTTGAATTCACAAAAAAGCTGTGCAGCAAATATTTAGTAAATTTACCTGAGCAAGCAATCTTCCCATTGTTTACTATCAAATACCTTCTCACAAACTTTAGCACTTGCCTTAATAAAGAAAAATACTATTTTATACCCTTTTTTATTCAATTTTAAATGCATGAAATGTAATAACTCAGGGACCAAATTTAATGGATTGCCGATTGAAATCCAAATAATGTTTTAATTTTGAATCGGTAAGCACTTGTAGTTCAGCGAACTCTTTCCAATTCATCAAATTCGGTCCCAGGGATCTTTTTTTATTCTCAGGAATAAATATTATAATACAAATTTTTAATTTTTGTATTTTTCCTAACACTTAATCCAAGTAATTTGTATTACAGGGTGTCCCAAAAAAATGGGAATTCAGTGACGAATTCGATATCGTCTTTGTTATTGTAATACCTAATTTCAAAAGCCATAATATTATCATGTCTGATAGAGTTTATTTTATGAAAAGGATTAAAAACTGTAAAGATGTGTCTATAATGTGTCTGCAAGATGAACAGTGAAGACAGACAAGTTTTCTGTTTGTAATGTATACTGCAATTTTCTTGTTTTACTAAATACAACAGTATGCAGTCAAAACATAAACAAACAAAATGTGAACAAAGCAGACGAAACTCTTACGGATTACATCTTTCTCAGTAGGTATCACTATACTAAATCAAAGAATTATTTAAATAGACAATATCGAATTCATCACTGAATTCCCATGTTTATTGGTATTTTTTAGAAAGTTTAATGAACTTCATAAAATAAGATTAAAAGTTTGAATAATCGTATAAACCCGTAATCAGTTTTTTATCGTTAAAGCATAATCAATTCCTTTTAATAGTTCTGTTTGGACTCTGAGACGGAAAACTTGTAAAGAATTGTACCTCTGTCAGCATAGCGAGTGCCCCGGCTGCTGCCTTGACAACCTGAGGATCTGAATCATCTCCGCACATTAGAACACAATACTTAACCTTGTCATTCTTACCCTCACACCTCTTAACCTAGAAAACATTTCATAGATTTTCAGAATCTGCAAATTTTCATTCTCCAAGTCTAAAAATGACAATTAAATTTTCAAAAATGTTGCTCTTAAAAACACAACACTCAAATGTTAACAATAAGATATTATTTCTTATCTCAAGAGAAGTGAATCAAATTTCAGCAAAAAATAAGCGTCTCAAAGTTTAAGAACATCTTAAAATGAAGAAATCTCGATATATTTTCATGAGCTGGATCAAAATTAAATGGATCCTTTAAGATTAAAATTACTACAACTGGCTACTATTAAATATCTCTAGTTTTAAATACAACACCCGGGAAAGAATTTGAGGTAGGTCGCTTAACTACCTACTGCCGATTCAAATCTTGAATCACCGATTCAACGTTAAAGATCCATGGGGATTTGAATCGGTGATCCAGGATTAAATTTGGCCACAAACCTGAAGATCTGACACGCACAGATTTGTCCAGCATTGAACCGCAGCTCTCCTGATGAGAAGATGCTCCTCGAACATATAGTTCTCAATTCCCTGGATAGCGTTACTGTCCTTTAGAATCCGACTCCTAACCATTTATCTCATATTTACACAAACTGGATGAGACTATATAAACACTAAACAGTATAAATTTTTTAAAGAATGTGACAGTATGGTAGAGAAATTTTTCAGGATTCATTTGAGACCTATGAGACGGTTTTACGGGTTTGTCTTTTCCGGAGTTTGTCACGGCGCCGGTTTTACGGTGCTTTTTTGTTCATCAAGAATCTTCAAAGTACTCAAAAATTGTTTATTTCGGAGTAATGATGTTGAGAATCGGTTTTTAAAAAATTATGCAATGAGGACCATGAAAAATGTAAAAAACATCTACAACTACCATGTCTATACACGCTCTTTAAGTATGACAATCTACAGGTTTATTTTTAGTCTTCTACCTTGAATATATACTTTTTATGGTAGACTTTTTTTATTTTTTTTTAACATTAGAAATAAATCTATAATTTTTATTTCTAAAAGTTGTTAGTTCATCGTCGAAAAATACTAACAATCCATCACTAATTTAAATATAGTATAAACAATAAATATGTAACTTTCCTTATCCTTTCCTTTCCTTTTATTTTTATTTTTATATTTTTTTAGAATTGGGGGGAAATATTCCCACAACCTCTACTTTTAGAGGTTTTTAAATATTTTCTCCTGAAACACTTTATTTTGTATGTTTTTGTTATATTTCATAAATAAAAAATTTTATACTATTTTTACTTAATGATTTAGCAAAGAATAAATGAGCGTATATTGGCTGCAGGCCTCCCCAAATGTCTAAGAAAATGGGCTAAAAAGTTCAGTAAAATCATCTTTGGAGGGTCATCCTCTGTGGGTAACCCTGAACTTCAGACCTAAGCTTAAATCCAATCGTCCCCCCCCCGTCCCTTTTCGTTTTTCATACTTTTATAAAACATTGAGATTTTCCTGACAGACTCGTTTAGACTGGCCAGATTTCCGAGTGCCATTAAAGCTTCAAAATTCTCTAAACTCTCGCATTCAACATCTACCAAAAATATATTTAAAACATGGAGGAACATCTACATTATAGTTGAGATTGGATGAATATCTACTTTAGAGTTGAGATTGGACGAATATCTATCTAATAGTTGAAATTGGATGAATATCTACCTACTTATTAACTGATAATATCTACATAATAGCCGACAGATTGGACGAACACCTACCGTTAAGTTGAAATTGGACGAATATCTACCTAATTTTTACCAGATTGACGAATATCTACCTTATAATTGACAGATTGGGCGAGTATCTACCTATTAGTTGACAGATTGGGCGAATTTCTACCTTACGATTGACAGATTTGACGGATATCTACCTAATACTTGACGGATTGGACGAATATCTACCTAATAGTTGACAGATTGGACGAATATATACCTAATTTTTACCAGATTGACGAATATCTACCTTATAATTGACAGATTGGGCGAGTATCTACCTATTAGTTGACAGATTGGGCGAATTTCTACCTTACGATTGACAGATTTGACGGATATCTACCTAATACTTGACGGATTGGACGAATATCTACCTAATAGTTGACAGATTGGACGAATATCTACCTAGTATTTGACAGATTGGACGAATATCTACCTTATAATTGACAGATTCGACGAATATCTACCTAATAGTTTACAGATTGGACGAATATCTACCTTATAATTGACAGGTTTTACGAATATCTACCTGATAGTTGACAGATTGGACGAATATTTACCTTATAATTGACAGATTTTACGAATATCTACCTGATAGTTGACAGATTGGACGAATGTCTACCTTATAATTGACAGATTTTACGAATATCTACCTAATAGTTGACAGATTGGACGAATATCTACCTAATAGTTGACAGAATCGACGAATATCTACCTTATAATCGACAGATTTTACGAATATCTACCTAATAGTTGACAGATAGGACGAATGACGTCACAACTCCGTTGTCCTGGGAAGGCGATGGCTGGATCCTATATTTGAAGTAATAATTATATAAAACATTGTTCAATGGATGCATCTTGTAGGTCCAGGGGAGCATTGAGGCAATAAAAAGCTAGGTCAAACTTACTCTAGGGGACGGACTGGGGATTGTTTAAAAATTAATAATCCTTTCATCTTCTCAAAAATAGTTAGTGTCATGAAACATCGTTATAATCACATTAATATAATGATGATGTCTTACAATAATAGTGGATTATACTCGGCTTTACTTCCCCTCCTACTCTTCCTTACTTGCTTCCAAGGAACAGTAAGTAGGTCATTGATAACTTGATTATCAATTTAAATTCAATATTTTGAGCAATATATATTGAATGATTGTTAAATAAACAAGGAATTAAAAGAATGATTAAATTTAGTAATCTGACTATTGTTCGTCAAGCGGAACAGAGAATGAAATAACGCCCCCCCCCCTTTTCTTCATCTCTTTGAATTATAAGATTTATCTCCACGTGCCTGAGTAATAGCAATCCTGGAGAGAGCCTGAGCAGCTGTCCTCATCCCCTTATCCGTCCCGTCCAGAGCCATCTGCACCAGAACCTTACTCCCACCCTGCTGAACAACTAGTCCCCGGAGCTCCTGAACATCAACAACATTAATTTGGATTTCTTTTCAACTCCGGCTCTAGTAAAACTGCATCCGGATTCACAGACGTATGCGGTTTTACGAATCCGGATCCACCATTGAACGGGGAAAAGGTGGCAGTTTTATATCAAATATAACACCGGAACAGTGTTTGCTTTCATAACAAACATGTTAAGTGTCAACTTTTCAGATTTCATAAAACCTTTATAATCATGAATTGCCCGATTCCCAACGTTATAGATCTAAAAATCATATTTGCAAAAAAAATTTAAAAAATACCCTTTTCTCTTTCTCAAAATTATCATTTTTAATTGTGGATTCACTATATAATGTACTGCAAATTTTATGCATCGCGTGGAGACAAGAGTATAATTTACACAATTCATTTCCTTTCTGTAATAAGATATTTCAGTTCGAATTTATTTGGTAAAATTTGGATTTTTTGTTCAGTGTAATCTGAGTCTAAAACTAAAGAACGAAAAGTTTTGACTTAAATTTTAAGTTCATGGTTAAATGCCACTTCTGACTTAATTTAAACCTGAACTTTAACCGTGAGGTTAAATATTTAACCCTGTGGTTAAATATTTAACTCGCCGAAATCGACGAGTTAAAATGCTGATTAGCGATGGTTATGTAATATTCTCCGTAAATCCTTTTCTCTGATTGGTTTAGATTTTTCCCAGGAAATTCAAATTTAAAATTGAGAAAGTTTAATATTTAAGTCGTTATTCATTATTTTACAGAACTTTTAACCTCGAACTTAAAATTCGCGCATTCTTTAGTTTTAGACTCTGACTTTGTTACTTGAAAAAATATCAAACTGAATGGCGGTACAGTACATGTCGTACCGGTTCAGATAATTAGTGAGTGAACACTGTACCTGGTGATTGCACACGGCACAGAGAACCCTGCAGATTAACTCCTTCATGTTCTTAGACTCAGTCTTCGACAAAGCTGAAAAATACATTTTATTATTCTTTAATTAGCTAAACCAGGAATCCAACCCAGTTTAAACGTCAGGCAGCAGAACAGAAAAATTAGAAAATAAAAATAGAAAATTGGTATTCTCTTCAAATCCCGGTCTTATCTTATTATCTTTAGTTCAAAATAGACTCTAGCCGATATAATTTAGATACTTTTTTAAGACCCTACCTCATTTGATATCCTTTACATGAAAATAATCCTAACTCTAGTTGACATCCTTGGCATAAAAATGATCCTACCTCTAGCTGATATCATTGGCATGAAAATGATCCTTCCTCTAGCTGATATCATTGGCATGAAAATGATCCTTCCTCTAGTTGATATCATTGGCATGAAAATGATCCTTCCTCTAGTTGAGATCATTGGCATGAAAATGATCTTCCTATAGCTGATATCCTTGGCATGAAAATGATCCTTCCTCTAGTTGATATCATTGGCATGAAAATGATCCTTCCTCTGGTTGATATCCTTGGCATGAAAATGATCCTTTCTCTAGTTGATATTATTGGCATGAAAATTATCTTCCTCTAGTTGATATCATTGGCATAAAAATTATCTTCCTCTAGCTGATATCTTTGGCATGAAAATGATCCAACCTTTTGTTGAAATCCTTGACATGAAAATGATCCTACCTACTAGAGCCGACGTGATCCCGAACTGTCCCAGAGTATATATTCTCTTGTCTACGAAGTCTTGATCATCAAGTTCATGATCCTCAGGAATATGATGTTTAGCAAACTTGGCCAGCTCAAGCATCTCAGGGTTGATCTCCTAGGATTTAAAAACATTTTTAAAAACATTAGATTCTGTATTAACACCTTTTGTATTCAGACAGGTTTGTATAAATCCAACCATCGATCAATCCATATATCAATCCAGGTGACATAGAAACGCCTCAACATGGAAACGGATCAAAAATAAGCGGAAACCCCTCAAAAGCAGGTTTTTTTTAGGTGTTTCCGCAATTTCTTGAAATTTTTCGGAAATCCCTCTTAATTCAAAATTTGATCGATTTACCAGAATTGTATATCCGTTCCCGCTTTGTTTTATTCAAATATTTTCGAGGCATTTCCCAATTTTTTTGGCGGAATTCCCAATATTTTTGGTACGTTTCCTCATTTTTTTATTATCTGTTTCCTCTTTTTTCAAAAACTTTTAAATTGATATGTCTCCAAATATTTTTGATCGGTTCCTCAAATTTTTCATCCGTTTCCGTTTTTTTTCAAATTACTTTAAAAATCTCAATTTGTTGACCAGGTGATTTAAAAGTTTTTGAAAAAAATGGAAACGGATCAAAAATATGAGGAAACGGACCTAAAATTTGAGGAAACTGATAAACAAAATGAGATATTTAAAGTTTTTGAAAAAAAGCGGCAACGCATCAAAAATATGAGGAAAGGGACCTAAAATTTGAGGAAACCAATCAACAATATGAGATTTTTACAGTTATTGTAAAAAGCGGAAACGGATCAAAAACATGAGGAAACGGACCTAAAATTTGAGGAAAACTATCAACAAATTAAGATTTTTAAAGTTTCTGAAAAAAGCGGAAACGGATAAAAAATACGAGGAAACGGACCTAAAATTTGAGGAAACCGATCAACAAAATGAGATTTTTAAAGTTTTTGAAAAAAGCGGAAACGGATCAAAAATATGAGGAAATGTACCTAAAATTTGAGGAAACCGATCAACAAAATGAGATTTTTAAGGTTTTTGAAAAAAACGGAAACGGACCTGAAAATATGAGGAAATTGATCAAAAAAAATTGGGGAAACCATTCAACTTAAATATTGGGAAACGGATACAAAATATTCGGAAATCCCTCAACAATTCTGAACTTTTGAGGGATTTCCTCGAATTTCTAAAAAAAACGAAAATTCCTCAAAAATAATTTTTGATCCGTTTCCGTGTTGTGGCGTTTCCATGTCATCATCAATCAATATACCAATCCATATATCGATCCATATAATTTAAAATTTTTAAAATGCGCGAAAAAATATTATGAAATTCGTTAACTTTTTTTGTTTTTGTTTTATACTGTACAAAGAGAAGATGCTCACAGATTAAGCCTAAAAGATGGGGCGAAGCGCCCAAAAAGCCTAGTAATCAATAAATTAATCAATGTATTCATAATATGATTGATTAATTAGTCAATATATTCATGACATAATTTATTAATTGATCAATGTATTTATGATATAATCGTTTAATTAGTCAACGTATTCAATTATTAATTAATTATTCAACATATAATCGATTAATCAATTATGTATTCAAGATATAAAATTAATAAATGAATTAATAATCTATTAATTAATAATGAATTCTACAAATAATCGATTTATTAATGAATGTGTAGTGTGTACCTGTTTATCGTAACTATTAGTAAGATTAACCAATGTAGAAACTACTCCGTATGCTACATTTTGCTTTCCAGTCTTACCCAGCTCTATCAGAGCCTTGATTGCAGCCTACAATATTTTCATTTTAAACAAAATATCAAACTATCAGTGTTGAAAAAAAAACTATTAATTATAATATGAAATCAAATTTTGAAACTTAATTCTTATTCCTTGGCAAGAACATTTCGAGTTTGCACTGGGAAACTTTAAAAGAAAATGGAGGACAAAATCTTAACCTCGTCTTCAATCAGTCTCTCTTTAACCTCCGCGTCCAGCGTCAAGAACGACAATCCTTCCGCGGCCCAACGTCGGAGATCGTCGTCTTTTCCAGGATTTATTAAAAACCGGCGGCAAGCCTCAGCTAGTTTGGTTGAGCTTCCGTCCGCAAACGGTCGCAAACTCGCGTCATGTCCTCCGCTCGCGCCAAGCTTGCAGAGTCCAACCAATGCACGAACCTTAACAAAATATCGGATGAACAACCAACGAAGAAGAAGGCAGGAACAGTCTTGCTCGGGATTTTTTTTAAAAAGGAACTTTTTTTAAAATCAATGTTATACGGAAGGGGTATAAATTTCGAGTGTTTAGAATTAAAAATAGGACTTCAGATTGTAAGCTTGCTTACAAAAGTTTTTGTTTAAAACCATTAACTACGAATTGATACTAGGAGAATAGTATCACAATTAAATTTAGAAACTTTAAAAAGGGGAAAGAAATAATAAAAACTATTGATATTGTCGAGATCTAAATGAAAGAGAAACTTAAATGAAGAAACACCTTGATGTGATCATTCTTAGATTTGTAAAGAGTCTTGAGTATATCTAGGCCCTGAACTACTATAGCTGTTGCGTCCTTCTTCTTGTTGGCGGCGGCTATGATGGCCTCCGAGGCCACAAGCTGCTGGATGTACTCCTCCGACCTGGCCATCACCAGCATCATCTGCAGCACCCCCTCCTGTACAACATAAAAGTTACATATCCATGTATATTATCTTAACGCAATGAAGCTTAAAGTATAATAATGGTGATATTGGGAATTTCAAATATGGAGCATTAAACTAAGCTATTTTGACCTGTAAAGCAATTCTGCAGCTCCACAGGGTTTCATTAAAAAAATTCCAAATTGCAGCAAGGGAGAGTCAACAAAAGAAGAAAATGGAGAACAAAGGAAGAAAAATAAATAAGAATTATTAAAATAGAATTTTTTGTATGATATGTACCCAATAATATTTTTACAAAAATAAAAAATATAATTTGGGTGCTTAAAGCAAAACTCAAAAATTCAAAAAGCAAAATTCAAAGTATTCTTGATACATTTTACCCAAAAGTTAAACCCAGATTTTAACTTTTTGTCAAGTTTGACCCTTATCATCTATATCATTAATTACAAGATTTGGTATAATTCCAGGGAGTTCTTGACAGAGCTATAAAAGATCATGTACCACTCAGGACAATTAGGAGTCAGGGTAAACCCCCGTGGTTAAATAAAAATGTTATGAGAACTATTAGAAAAAAACGTAAATTATGGAATGCTTATAAAAATGCTAAAAACTATGAGGATTATCTTGCCTATAAAAACATTGAGAATTTGGTTAGAAAGTCCGTAAGAAAAGCCAAAAAAAAGTTTGAATCCAGACTTGCCAAAGATATAAAGAAAAATCCAAAGGCCTTTTATAAATTTATTAACAGTAAAAGAGGTAACCGGGAAACTGTTGGCCCACTTAAAGTTGATGATGTGCTTATAGAAAATGATAAAGATATTGCTGAAAACTTAAATGTGTTTTTCGGCTCAGTTTTTACTTCAAATGATATAAACTGTGATATTAACATGGATAATTCGAAAGAAAATGCTACTAATTTGAACTCTATAGAAATAACTAGTGCTAAAGTAAAAGATAAACTTTATAAATTAAAGCCTTTTTCTGCGCCTTGACCTGATGGACTGAGTCCCTTTATACTAAAAGAACTCTCAACTGAAATTTGTTTTCCTTTGTCTGTTATTTTTCAAAGATCTCTAAATGAGGGGCTTGTCCCGAGTGATTGGAAATCAGCAAATGTAACACCAATTTTCAAAAAGGGATCTAAGTTTGAACCTGGTAACTACCGTCCTGTGTCTTTGACATCAATTTTATGTAAAGTTATGGAGTCTATACTAAGAGATGCAATGGTTGAACATTTAAAAGACAATGAACTTATTTTTTCATCTCAGCATGGTTTTGTGAATAGGCGCTCATGCCTAACAAATTTACTTGAGTACTTTGAAAAAGTCACAGAATTGACATTGAATTGGACATTTTATGTCAAGACTTTGCTAAAGCCTTTGACAAAGTGTCACATCGTAAATTGGAAGTACTACTTGAGAAACATTGTATTTCAGGACATATAAAAGGTTGGATAAAAATGGTTGTCTGATAGACAACAAAGAGTTGTGTTAAATGGGGAGTACTCTAACTGGGTACCTGTTACTAGTGGAGTACCCCAGGGGTCAGTGCTCGGACCAACCCTGTTTGTCATCTTTATTAATACTTTAGACATCTATCTTCAAGACTATCCAGTGTTATTATCTAAATTTGCTGATGATACTAAAGTTGGTATGCCTGTTAACAATGAAACTGATTCTATAGTTCTACAAAATGTTATAAATACTCTCTGTGACTGGTCTGATGATCTGTCAATGAAATTTAACTCTGGAAAGTGTAAAGTGATGCATGTTGGTGGGAGAAATAATCATTTCACCTACACAATGCATGGTTTTACTCTCGGTGGTACAGTGTTGGAGTCTGTAGATGAGGAGAAGGATGTAAAAGTGAAGATTTCTAATACATTGAAACCTTCAAGTCAATGTCAAGTTGCAACATTGAAAGCAAACCAACTAGGAGGACAAATGTCTAGATCGAGACAAATACAATTGGATAATACTATACAAAGTTTATGTGAGACCTAATCTAGAATATGCTGTCCAAGCATGGTCACCCTGAAACCAGAAGGATATTGACCTCCTTGAGAATGTCTAGAAAAGAGTTGTGAGAATGACAGCAGGACTGAAGCCAGGAACCTACCAAGACAAGCTGAAAGAATTAGGCTTACCCTCCCTAGAGGAGAGAAGAAGGAGAGGTGACATGATACAAACCTGGAATATATTGCACCAGCATGATGATGTTTGCGAAAAAAACCTGGTTTACTAGGTTAAATTCAGCCTCTACAGTTAGCACAAGGTTGAAATCATCTATATTCAACCTGGAGATGAAGAGAACAAACCTGGACATAAGAAAAAACTTTTTTTCTATTTAGAGTTGTTAAAGGCTGGAACCAACTGCCTGAGGCAGTAAAGGGGTCCCTGATCCTATATGCTTTTAAAAACAGTTATGATGAGCATAGAAATGCAGCCATGGATCCAGAAGAATAAATGATGACCTGACCCGCCACTTCATTCTTGCATGATGCATGAGCTTGGCAGAGAAACTATCAACGTATCAACGTAAATTGGGTTAGTCTTTTTTTTTCAAAAAAAGTTAACAGTCGCTTGAAGATTGAGACTACCTTGAGCTGCGAGTTGCCTAGATCAGGAGCATTCTGTAGTAGAGTAGTGATAGCAGAGACTAGACGGACCTTACTTTCCAGACCAGGGTCCATTAACATCTCCTAATCAATCAATCAATTATTAATATCAATCAATCAATCATTAATATCAATCAATCAATCATTCTTCAAATATCAATAAAGTAAGCGCTTTATATCAATCGACTTTCGCGAAAAAATCAATCATACAAGATATCTTACAAAAAAATTGTTAATCGACCAATTAATGGGTTTGTCAATCATTCAATCAATCAATATATCAATCGATCGATCTCTCAATCTATCTATCGATCGATCGAACTCTCAATCTATCAATCTATCAATCTATCGATCTATCGATCTATCTATCGATCGATCTCTCAACTATCATTAACAAAGAATTAAGCATGCAAGATGTCTCACAATAAATTATGTTAACCGATTTATCAATTACTTAAATCCCATATCCAGCCAACATACATTAGATCCGCCAACTTATCCTAAATACTTAATCAGTAAAAAATAGATTAATTCATCACACCGTCTGACTAACTCGTCTGTCAAACTCTGTTATCTATCCCATCTGTATAACTCATCTATCTGTCTCAATAGTCTGTCTAATAGTGCATTAAGTGCATTAAGTTAAACCAGGGATCTTGGCACCCCTGACACCTTCACCAGGGATCTCAGTGCCCCTGACACCAATCACATTGAAGATATCTGTTTGTCATACATATTCTTAAAACTAATCAATGAGGTGGCATTATTAATGACTATTGTCAAACTGTTCCATCTTTTAATAACTCTTAAGCTAAAGAAATTTCTCCTAATATCTAGATTGCAAAGTTTTGAGTTGAGGTTCATATTGCATGTCGAAAATCTTGTTTCTCGTTCTCTATCTCATCTATCTAATCTATCTCATTTATATTATCTATATTATATATTATATATCTCATCAATCTCATCTCTATTATCTATCTCATCTCTATTATCTATCCATCTGTTCCTCTCTATACCTGCTGATTATTATCATATTAACCTGTGTAAATTTATCATCTCATTTCTATTATCTATCTCATCTATCTCATCTCTATTATCTATCTCATCTATCTCATCTCTATTATCTATCCATCTGTTCCTCTCTATACCTGCTGATTATTATCATATTTACCTGTGTAAATTTATCTATCTCTGCTGTAAGACGAGCTCTACGACCATCATCATACATCTGTTCGTACAATAATCCAAACGTTACTCCGGTAATAGTCTTTGTAGAGTCTGTTATCTCCATATTACTTTCATACCTAGTATTATATGAAAGATTATAAGAAATAGGACAAAATTTCATCAAAAACCAGTTCTTCAGTTCTGTATCCATATATGCCGATTTACGGATCCGGATCTTTGGCCATTTATAAACCAAAACAATGGGTACTGGGGAAAAACACTAGGGGCTTTCAATCCTTCAATTTATGTCACCTAATCAAATATCTTCAGATCCTTGGTAATGAATATATCATGATTCTAAATAAAAGTTGTAGAAAAAGAACATTTTAAAAATTTGTTTTTAATAAACGAAATCAGCAAAACTTTCAAGAAGTTTTCTAATGACATTCACTTCATCATAAAATGGATAAAGATCCTACCAATTTATAAAAAAAACTTGTAGATTTCCTAAATATTTTAATAATTGTTGTTAAAATCTGTTTATATATTAAGATTATCCCCGTTATAATTTTGTGTAAAAAAGTATACATTTTACCAAAAATAGTTCGCTTTAACAAAGACGACGTTCTAAATATATTGCGGGTTTACAGGATCCTTCAAGGATGAATATTTGAACGGGAAAAGTAATTATAAACTGAAATCTTTATTAATAAATGCAAGCTACAATTCATACCATTTTTGTAAATGAAAAGATTATCAGAAAATATTCATTTTGTCCATTCTAACATTAAAACAAAAGCCAAGTGCATTCTATGAGGAGTATTGTGATAAAAACAAGTCAACCCGACCAGACCCACAAAAATACCCCACCGTGCACCCCCACCCCCAAATGTTAAACTGAAAATTAGGTAAACTTAAGTTTACTTGTATTCCTCTGTATTTAGCTCGCTAGCAACCTCCATCAACCTCTGGTAGGAGTCTGTCTCCAGCATGTGCTCCGCCCAGTTCAACTGATCATACTGGCAGTTCTTCATGATTAGGTTCACCAGAGCGTCCCGAGCCTCACCTTATCATAAAGTGAATGCTATTTAGTGATGCTATATCGATAGGACTAGAGGCTGATTGGACTAACGTATTGCACTGAAGTCAGCTGTTCACAAACCAGTTTTTAGTCCATTTGAACATAAGTACAAATGAACAAAATAGAAATCAATTATTTTCAAATAAAATAATTAAAATAGTTTTTTATTTTTAAACGTTGCGTCATTTTTTTGAGAAATTTGTGTCCGCAGTGCCAACCCCCTTATCAGTCCTAGCCGCGGCGCTCAGCCACCTAGCACGTCCTGACCGCAGTGCCGCAGTATTAAGAGGGATTTTAGTTTAGATAGTTAAAAAGGTATCAATATTTTTTTCAAAAAGGGGGTTTTTAAGGGGGGCCACAATAAAAAATTTTTGCGCGCTGACGCGCTCTACATGTGCCCCCCCCCTACACAAATGCTCTCGTACGCCCCTGCACTACACCATTATAAGAATAAACCAACTTTAAATTTCTCTTCTCCCTTTCTTGTCTATCTCTTCAGTTGGTGGTGTATCTTTCGACCTACGCACATCCGCTAAACTCCACTTCTCACCTCCGCCAAATCTGCTATACTACACAGTACACATCCAACCTACTAGCACGTGGTTTTATGCCTGCTAAATGGACTTATGGCCACAGCGCCCGGCCCCCTAGCATGGTTCAGAAATTATCTTAACCTAGCCTTACCTAACCCTCAAATAACACAAAAATAAACAGCTGTTTTAGGTACGATATTGCAGTAGGTCGGAAAGTTAGTAGGTCAGAAGTCCAGTAAGGGGGATATTACAACTAGACAATGAAACAATGTCCGTCAGTTTCTCTTCTTAAATTAACTTGCCTCAGCCTTTAGAAATAATCCAATGTCCCAGCAATAAACGAAATACGAATTATTAAGAATAAATTAGCCACTTACACATTTCTATTTCTGTATTTAAAACATTAAAACAATTTCCCATGTTTTCAAGTTTCCATATTTTGAAAATATGAATAGTAAAAATATTCACCTGTAATAGTCCTTGATGTAGTATTAAAACAGATTGTGTTCATGATACTTGTCAACTCTAATTTATTTTCCTAAATAATTCATTTCATCAACTTTTAAGTTAAACAATTCATTTCAGTTTTTTTACTTAAATAAAAATTTTTTCAACTGAAAAAACAAGAACTTTTTTATTTGACTGAAAGTATATATTTTTTTGCAAGAATGCATAATTTTTTGAAAATCTTCTTAAAGGGTAAAAATGTTGGGTAAAATGTTTCGAAAAGGATAAAAACATGATTAGTGGGTGATTCTTAAAATTAAATACCCCTGCCTTCAACAGGATTTTATAGAGCCCAAGCAATCTTTTTTGTGAAGTATCGTTAATCTAGGCCAATTTATCTCGATATCCAATGAAGACACTATTAAATTACTTGATCTTCAAAAGTTATCCCTGACAGGGTTTAACCATCACGGGATATCAAAGAGGAATTAAAGGTCTGCGCATAAGATAGAGACCAATACTTAATTCCGATATTCAAACACAAAACTTTGTTTAAATTAAAATAAAATGTACCTTAATTATTTCAGCTCTTGCCTCCTCATCAGCTCTCATATTCTTTCTTTCTTCAACAGTCATTCTCTTCTTCTCCTTCCTTTTATCCTTCCATTTCTCACTAGAACGGAAATAATTTATACATACATTTCATGATCATAAAAACAAAAATCCAACATCATATATTTTATCATTTAATATATTCTTTTAATCTCATTTCTCATCTTAAATATGTTAGTTTAATACAAATCAAGATCAAATATGTTCCATTTTATATGAACCCAGCTAGCACTGAAACATTTTAGGCCTTTATAGTAATATATTTTAAATATTATTCATATGTACTATGTAATGGACTTGTATACTTTACCTACAGTTTATCCAAAACTTTGGAGACTTCGAACAAATTATAATATGAAGTTTTTCTAAACCTGCTGATAATGGAATGCTGCAAAAATTTAGTTTTTAATCGTCATATTTCATGGCTTTTTTATTTTTTTTTGTACAATTACTGAAAATTCTATAGATATAGAAGTAACGAAAAAATTGAAAAATTGTCAAGACGACATTTTATCCTTTCTTTCAATGCCCCGAAGTTCTGTGTTAAACATTAGAAGATTTGAAATTGAACTTATCTGTTCAATCTTCCTCCCTGGTCATGTGATAAAAACATGGGTATTGATTATTATGCTCCGTGTATTATACCTTAAATCCAGTCTGGAGAGTGAATCCAAGATAGCTTGGATCACGTAGGTGACAGCAGTAATAGAATCCTCATCCTGCAATCCGCAAAATTTCAAATTGCGATAAATAATTCCACATTGCATGGGGCTGATGTCTCAAAGTTGTACTGCCCTTTTCTGGGAAATAAATGGATTTTCTATTCGAAATAGTAAATCACAGTAATTTTCCAATTAAAAAATTTTTCTAAAAGATGTTTTAAGTTTTGCATTCCTTAGTGTTGAGAGCGTTAAGAAAGAAAGGGGACCCGGCCTCCTTCAAGATTGCTTTAGCGCGCTCCATCTTACTCTTAGCTAGGAACCCGAGCACGCGCACTAGGGATAACCTGAACAAAACATCATTTGTTTACATTTGAAAATTACGTTCAGGAATAAATGTTTTCTTGAAAAATTATTTTTTCCCCTTCTATCATTTTTACACAGATGTTTCGACGAATTGAGAGAAAACAGATGATTAAAGGAGGGAGCGAAAAAAAAAATTTGGAGGAAAATTATCAATAAGTTAGAAAAAACTTGTCTTAAAAAGTCAAATTGTATCGTTTTTCCCCTGGGCAACACAAATGATCAACCACCGGGGGATTATGATAAAATACTGATGTATTTTTTTTACCGCTGTGAACCCGACATACCGTTCTATAAGTGGGGAGTCGTTTAAAATAACGTCTTAACTCGCTATAGTTTCATTAACTATGATAACTAAATACCTTATTTTCTGATTCTTCTCAACCTTCATTATTTTAACTATCTTTGGCACCACGTCCTGATTGTAAACACATTCAGCTCCGGCATTTTCCTTAGAACATTATTATTATGATTATTACTATTATAACTAATAACTATATTGTAATCAACAATCTACCTTGGTCCTAAAAACATTATTATTAATTATTATTAGTTTTTATAATCTTTCTTTGATCACAAAGAATTTTCTGCAGATTTTTAGGACTTTTTATTTGAAAGACGACATTTAAAGAATTTGAAGAAATCTGCGAACAAATTCATAGAAAATAAGAAATTCAATATAATGATGAAAAAGGAAATACTTATATCTAACTTCCATTAGAACTGGGCGGACAGCAACTTCTTCAAGTGTTTCATTTTAAAATTATGATATTAGATGCTCTGGGAAAAATTTCTAAAACTGGACATCATCTTCAGAGTAATTCATATTTGATGTTTCTTACTTTAAAAAAAAATAAATTGAACCCATAACAATCCATTTTTTAATAGAAAATCACCCTGAACTCTTCTCTATGACTATACGGAGCACTCCCTTTAAATCATTGCTTCAAGCAAAAGATACCTTTGATAGAACAATCATATTATCAGCAGCCTTCTCTCTTTTCTCAGTGTCAGCCTCCACATCAAACACTGGAATTAAAAATATTTCAACAAATAATTTCTAACTCTTTTTTATATTTCTTTATCTGTATCTCTCAATCTTTATCTCTTTATCTGTATCTCTCAATCTTTATCTCTTTATCTGTATCTCTGTATCTCTGTATCTCTTTATCTATATCTGTATGTCTACACCTGTGTATCTATATATATTTATCTGTATCTGTTTGTCTGTATCAGTTTGTATGCATCTGTTTGTCTGTATCTGTTTGTCTGTATCTGTTTGTCTGCATCTGTTTGTCTGCATCTGTTTATCTGTGTATGTTTATCTGTATCTTAAAAATTTATATTTAATATCTAACTATTTAGGGGCGCGAATATTCATAGACCTAAAGGGAGGCTAGTATCCTATTTTTATTGGAATTTCCGACCACTGAGAATCCAGGTCTTTTGAGCCAAAAATTACGTCAAATAATTTTTTTATTAGGCTTGTTTGTTTGTTCGTGTCCAATAAACGTCAAAACGGCTGCATTGATCAGGCCAAAAGTTAGCGTTGGCATGGCAATGGCTGCTTAAAAAGTAAGTAAAAAACAAACTAGTTTGAAATATTTTCCTAAGTTAGACATTGTCTCCACTTTGTTTTTGGTTGTTGACATCGTGTTTATCTTGGACTGAACCTAAAATAAGGGGAAAAAAATTGTATTTTCAACATACTAAAAACACTCGTTTAAAATTTATCCTCGAGTTCTTCAAGTTACAATCTTTTATAACTTAGTTAATGATCTCACATTTGTATTAAACTTGAGCCAACAGTTACTTAGTTGAATAATTAAGATAAAATTTTAGGGACTGTGAGAGTAATTTAAAGTGACCCTCCGTGCAAAGATGGCAATGTCCGATTCAAAATAGTACCCGTCCCTTAAAATCTTTAACTGATCAAAAATGTGGAAGATATTGTCGGATTTGTTATATTCAAGATTGTAAAATGCGCTGGTCACTTTTGTAGAGAAACCACAATTTAAAATTTTAAGTTGTCAAAATTATAAACATTGATATTTAATTCAAGCTTGAACAGACAAAGCTTCTAACGGTACTGTTGTGAATCAGTCATTCCCATCTTTGCATGGAGAGTCACTTAAAATTATGCTTACAGTCCCTATAAAAGCAAAATAATCTTAAAATATTTGTAAACATCACAATACAGTATTTAGTTTATTTTGTGAGAACCCCCCCCCCCGCATTAGGCGACCAGAAAGATCGTTCATTTCTATAAAGTAGAATCTATATATTCAATTTGCTTGTCTGTCTATTTGTTTAACCGTTTGTATCTAAAAAAAACGTCAAACAAGCTCTTGAAGATAGGGCCCCAATTTTGTGTGGGACCTCACATAACCCCAGGGTAGGTTTATGGATGCTTACAATAACAAAAATTGTCTCCAAAAGATTTTAGAAAAAAAAAAATTGTAAATCCACAAAATTAGTAAATTTTTGTTTTATCGAAGTGAAAGATTTAGCAACTATTAAAGTTGAATTAGATATATATGGTTTATCAATTAATTGCTCATCTTCTTTATTCAGGAAATATGTGATGGAATTAGTTCACCTGAATTAAACCTGAACAATAGATTTTAGACCAACCTGTGAATGAAGTCGTAGTAAAATTGCCTCCATTCCTGGGGTTTTGGGGTCTGAAAACAAATAAATTAAATCAATCAGATAAATAAATTATAATTAAAATATTCATACCTATTTTATGAACTAGTTTGGCATCTGCATACGCTTGCTCAATGTTTCCTAAATAAAATAGAAAAGGATGTATAATTCACGAAATTAACTAAGAAATGATTTGTTCCTTTTTGTAAGATTGACATAGTTTTCCCATTTTTTATTGATCTCATCGTTAGAACAGTTTTTTAAAGAGGCTGTAGCCGTAACTTCAAGGGAATGGAATGTCCGATTAACAATGGTAACCTGCCCAGCTTTTTCTCATAAAGAGTTATTCGTGTTGTTTGAGGAAAGTTGATTACTTAAAATTGTGATTATTCAATAACTAGGCTTTTAGGGCGCTTCGCGCCCATCTTCTATTTAAATTGTGAACATGTTCTTTTTGTTTACATTTTAAAACAAAGAAGAAAATTTTTTTGCGGATTTAAAAAAAAATTCGCGGATTTAAGAGTTTAAATTTATTTACAAAATTAAAAACCTTTAACACATTTTTTAAATTTTTATCATTCATAAACCTTCCCTGTGGTCACGTGATGTCTCACAAAAAAATTTGGGCCCGATCAGTTCAGCCGTTTTGACGTTTATTGGACAGACAAACAGACAAGTTAAATTTATATATAGAACTAGCCTTAGAGGGCGCTTCGCGCCCATCTTCTAAATTAATTGTGAACATGTTCTCTTTGTGTACATCGTAAAACAAAACAAAAATAATTCGCGGATTTTCACAAAAAATTTCGGGGATTTTCAAAATTTTCAAAAATTTAATGACAATCGAATTTTGATGGAGACAAATATTTGAAATTTCGATAATTCATAAACCTTCCCTGTGGTCACGAGAGGTCCCACAAAAAATTTGGGCCCGATCGGTTCAGCCGTTTTGACGTTTATTGGATACAAACAGACAGACAAACAAACAAATAAACAGACAGACAAGCCAAATTTATATATAGAAGTGATGTGCGTTTTACTACTGCAGAAACAATGAAGGATAACCTCAGAATTGAATGAATTAATCCCTATATCACAACATTATTGATCAGACAAAGGTTTCAAGAAGCTGGGTACTGATATAAATCGAGCATGGGCCTCTTCCAAGGAGTATGAAATAGAAGGGAGGTACAAATGACGCGGCCCGCCCTACCATATGATTACACATGCATTGTAGACGGTACTTCATTTGAATAAGAAATATCTGTCTGATGTACAGTTACCGCATATACAATAACCTATTTAGAATATTTCTTATTCAAATGGAGTACCCGTCTGCAAAGCATGTATTATCATACAGTAGGGCGGGCTGCGTCAGTTGTATCTCCCTTCTATTCCATACTCCTTAGCCTTTACCAATGTATGGTCACCTTTAAATTTAACCCTCGAGTTTAACATTTACCTAGGGCTTCCTGCGCCTGACTACGACGAAAAAGTGCTTTAGGGTCGTTTGTAGATATCTCTAAAGCAGCCGAACAGTCCTAAAACACAAATAAAACATGGGGGTGGACTTTTTTTCAGTACACCCCCTGTTTTTTTAAAATTATTGGGGAACAAACTAGGTTGTTTTCTCTTTATCTGTATCTCTCAATCTTTATCTCTTTATCTGTATCTCTGTATCTCTGTATCTCTTTATCTATATCTGTATGTCTATACCTGTGTATCTATATATATTTATCTGTATCTGTTTGTCTGTATCAGTTTGTATGCATCTGTTTGTCTGTATCTGTTTGTCTGTATCTGTTTGTCTGCATCTGTTTGTCTGCATCTGTTTATCTGTGTATGTTTATCTGTATCTTAAAAATTTATANTCGGGCACTACGGCCACACAGCTCAACATTGCATGTAGATTTAATGAAAAGGGGGGCCCGGGGGCGGGGTCCAAAATCCTAGGAAATTACAAAATAATTGCATACCTTCTTACCTCACGCCTTTAGGATATTTTACATTTAACTGATGAAATTATGGAAATATTTTCCTGATTTAAGCGTATTAAACTTTTCCAGAACTTTCCAGAAAGTCCTACACCTACTAGATGGGTTAATTTTAAACTTAAAATTAAAACCTCAGCAAAATTTGGATTTGTTTTCCTTCCTACCGGCCCAGCTGATCATTCGCTTTCTCTCACGTGATTGGTGGGTTAGAGATCTTAAGAGTACTATTGGTCGGCTCAAGTATAGAGGCTTCCCATTGGAAGGAAGGAAAGATACCGCGGCCAAAATGATGGTGTATCTTTCGACCTACACAAATCCGCTATACTCCACTTCTGACCTAAGTCAAATCCACTATACTACACATCCGACCTACTAGCACGTGGTTTTACAGCTGCTTTATGGACTTGTGGCTACAGAGGGCCCGGCCCCCTAGCATATCCTAGCCGCGGCTCGATCCCCAAGAGTTAGCCGAAATTTATGTGCCGATCGGCGATTGCTGTCGGCCGTCAATAATTCTGGACTTTAAAAGTTCGCCATCGGTTAGTCGGAGATAAAATGTTTGCAGTGTCGGCCCAGAAATTGTCTTAACCTAACATAACCCTCAAATAATTCAAAAATAAACAGCTGGCGTATGGTGCGATATTGCATTAGGTCGGGAAGTTAGTAGGTTAGAAGTTCAGTTGGGGGGAGTTGCGTATAAACGATTTAACAATAAATTCAT